GCCCCTTCCCTCCCCCTGGTGCCCATGGTGGGTGTGTGCGCACCTCCTCACTAGCAGCTCTAAGGACTGCTTAGGGCCCTGTCTCCCTCCTCTGGCTCGGTCATTCGTGTGTGCCTGGCAGGGATCCAGCTTGGGCGGGGCGAGGCGTTCGCATTCAGTGCGCTGATGAATGAGAGCCTGAATGAAGATAGGAACAGATGGCCACACACTCACCCAAATTAGACTTGAACTTGGAGCCACAGATTGGGAAAAGAATGAACACAAAGTTCATCAAGTCAACAGCTGCTAGGTAGGCACCAGTGAATACCTGGGAGCAAATGGAGAGAGTCTTCATGTTCAAACAATTTTTCAGCAACTGCAGCACCTCTCGTCCTGGATCTCCTTTACCACATGTGTTCTGCTGACTAGTGCTTCCAGGGATGCCTCCCAACCCCAAGAAAGGCTGAGATCACCTCCATTTGACTGGTAAGGAGGTGGGGTGGATGCTTAAATGATTCATCTCAAGTAATGAAGCTGCCCAACAGGGGAGATGGGCGGGAAACCTAGCCCTCGGCATCCTATCCCACACTCTCTCCACCGTATGGTGAAATCCCTGCTGTGAAACTTTGGCCAAGCCACTGACCTCTAGGCCTCAGTTTCCTCATCTGCAAAACAGGGGGAACAACAGTGCCTCCCTCACCATGTGAGCAGATTACGTGAGTCAGTGCGTGGGAGGAGCTTAGTCTGCCCCGGAGCAGAGGAAAATGCACCCACCTAGAAATGCGCCAGTGACTAGGGCAGTGTGGTCAGCGCTAAGAGCATGCATTTGGGGTTTGACTCCTGGCACTGCAACTTGGCAAAGTTACTTAACCTCTCTTTGCATTAGTTTCCACATGTGTACAACAGGGGTAAGTGCACTCATGGCAGAATGATTTGAGGGTCCAACGAATTAATACACAAAAAGCCCTTAGTGCTAAGTATGCAGTGCAGTATTTAACAAGTGCCAGCTGTTGTTATCGGACTGCAGCTAGGCCTCATTACTCCCCATCTCCTAATGGGATGGGCACCCAAAATGAAAGGTGATCTGTTTCTGAGACAGTACTGCTCAAAGCAGGGTCGAGAACTCCCACAGTCTGTGTCCCGATCACTAAGCTGTCCTCCTTCATATCCAGCTGGGTGGGCAAAAGGTCAGCAGCAGCCCTATGAGGTAGCCCTGCAGGGGAGTCCCCAGGCTTTCCTTGGGATAAATGTTCTGGGATAGACCCCTCTTATACAGGTTTGTTGGGGGCCCTAAACTTTGGGAAAAGTTAAAATTGCTTCTCATCACCACCTGGGAAAGGATTCACCCCTGCATGAGCTGGGCCCTGGCCTGGGCTCTAAAAACAAAGCACGAACAACCACTGTTTATTGAGCATCTACTATGTGCCAGATGCTATTTTAAGTGATGGGGATACAGCAGTGAATACAAGTTTTTGCTCCTGTGGAGCTGACATGCTAGTAGGGGTTAAATACAATCAGCAATAAACACACTAGTAAGTAAAGCAGATGGTGTATTGGGAGTAAGCCATGGAAAAAAATAATAAAGCAGGATGAGGGTGTCTGTGGTGGAGGGGAAGGTCAGGGGAGGCCTTACTGAGAAGGTGGCTTTGAGCTAAGACTTGACGGAGATGATCAGGGAGCCACGTGGCTGTCCGGACAAGAGCATGGGAGGCGGGCAGAAAGACCAACAAGAACACAAGCCTGGAGGCAAACTGTGCTTTGCATGGTGAGGGCACAAGACAGAAGCCATGGTCCGCTGTGAGCCTGACACACCTGGATCGTGAGCTGCCTGGCCAGAATCGCCCCAACGGTGTCACACAGGCTGGTCAGGAGGCAGCACGCAGCACAAAGCGCCGACTGGGCCTGTCCGGATCTCTTTGTGCACGTCAGATAGAGAAGCCTGTGGGGACAGAGAGGGGTGTGGACAAAACATGACAGCTGCAAGTTTGAGCTCCCAAACAAGCATCTGAACAATACAATTGTGACTGTGTGTCCTTCCGAAGCACCCTCTCCCCAGGTATTCCACGGTGTTTTTGAACTTAGCTTACGCGTTGAAAAAGAAAGGATCAAATAGCTCCCTGACCCGCCCTTCTAACGAAGAGGAATTTCTTCCCTCCCACGAATCCGGCCAACTCAAGTTCATGACTACCTTTTCTGTGCTGACAAACTAGCTGTCAGGTTTCATTTCATGAAAGGAAACAGGAGGGTTATAAAAGTAACCCAATCACAGCAGTATACTGCAGAGCAGAATTAATCGCCTCAATATAAAAAGGCAACTTGTTTCTTTGAAATTAAAGTGAAATCATTCTAATCCATCTGTGTAACTGCATGGCCAGGCTCCTGCTGGCCCACATCCGATCTCATTCTGGGTACACGTGCTTTACACAGGGAGTTAGCACAACTCCTAGAGGATGCTGTGGAACTGTGGGCTAACCAGACACGACTTGCTGGGTTATCTCCCTTATTGCCTCCACCCCCTCCACCCTACACAAATTCAGAAAGGCAGAGCATGCTGGGAGGGGCCAGAGGTTTCTCCGTCAGGGTCATGGATTAGATCTCAGAAACACTTTGTTCTAGATGTTTCCCTACTACATTTCCATGGAGAAGCCAAGGCACAACTGCAGCTCTGGTTTCATTTCTTCATCCTTAGGACTCACAGGGTGGTACTTACTCCACATCCTTAGGACCATTTAGCTGGTTCTGAGCTGCAGGCCTTGGGAATAATGGATGAGGATGGAAGATACTAGGTTCCCAAACATCCCTGACCTGCCAGGGGAAGCCCGGAGCTCACAGTAGGAAGATGAACCTTTAATTTGGTCCCTGGGCTCCTGAAATGGGTTCAAAGTCTAAGAGTAAAGACTCTAAATTAGAAACTCTCTGAGTTAGACCCAGATTAGGGATAACTGACCTCAAACCTCCCACCTGAAAGTGGAGAAAGCTGAGGCTACAGTGAGAGGGGAGGTAACGGTGGGCCTTCTGGCTTCATGGAGGCTTCATTCCGTGTGGACCCTGCTGCTGTGCAGTCACTTTCTGGCTCTCAGGGGTTAGGGATGCCAGGCCGACCCTGACCCAGCTCACACGCAGCTGGGAGGAGATACAATCCCTAAAAATAAATGAAGGTTCGGGGATAGCGGAGTCCTAGAAACAACAGAGGGTCCAGACCTGAGGCAGGTGAGAAAGCAGAGGCTCTGCTCTCAGCGGGACTGGCTGGGCATGCCCGAGAATTACTCACTCTTGCCAAACCTTGGTTTGCAGGTTGGTAAAATGTCTGTCATGCAGACCTCAGAGGGTGGCCGTGAGGAACACACGAGGTGCAAAGCGCCTCTGCAGTTTCCTCTGGTCTGGTTAGTTTAATCCTCACCCAACTGCCCTTTTCTAATAGGATCTGGGGAATCAGTTCTTTCCATTCATTTGGGCAAGTTAGTTAACCTGTCAGAACCTGGGGCTTCCTGATCTAAACGGGGGTGATTACAGTTCCTACCTCCTGGGGCTGCCACAGGGATTAAACGAGCTAGTGAATGCAACATGAGTGTCATTTTAGTCTTATTGCAGTGACCGAGCAGCAGGGCTGAGAATCCATAACGCTATCAAACGTCTGAGGGGACACCCACTGAGAACCTAAGGTGAGGCAGTGCCAGTCTCCTGGGGGTGCTAGTTCTTTCTCCTCTGCCAGGGTATACTTGGGTGGCATGATCCACCCAGCTTGGGACAGGGTGGCTGAAAACCTGGAGGCCATTTTAACCAGACTTCACCCTTAGGACCCAGGTTATGGTGGTGTCTTGACCCAACGGCTCCAGGTGCTGACAGAGCAGGGCAAACTCTGTGGCCAGTCAGATCATCCCTTCCCCATTTCCCAGTTAAGAGGGCCTTGGGAAATTGAGGCCAGGAACATCAAGACACTTGTTCAAGGTCCTCACTCTCTGCCAAGAGTTGGTGGCAGAGCTGGAGCAATTACAATGATATTTAATGAGCACTTAACTAAGTGCTTTATCGGTGCTAACTTTTAATCCTCCCTTCAGTACCCTGAGTTATCGTCCCCATTTACGTTAGGAAAATGGGGCCCAGAGGTTTTATAGTTTGCCCAATGCACACCTCTAGTCCGTGGGGAAAGGGTGCCAAGAGAACCCAAGACTGGCGGCGTCCAGTCCAGGGCCCTGCCCACTGCATCTCCCAGCCTCCTCCTGTGGCCCACAGCCCAGCCTCCCCGTGCATGTTACCCGGAAAGAAGTAGCCCGACTTCAGTCTACAGCGAACTGTTAGTTTCGGTGCTGGAATTGTGCTACCTCCTGCAATCTCCCTTTCTGCCCCCTTCCCTCTAGGTTTCCAACAGGGACTAAGGAGGTGGGGTGGGGGTGAAGGGTAGCTTCCCATTCCCGGCCGCCCCCGGCAGCCGACCCGCCCCTGCTCTGGCGCTGCCAGGTCTCGGTCCCCATTACAGTGCGTGGGCGGCGATCCAGCAGCAGCAGGCGCAGATCCACAGGCCAAAGGAGATGCAGACGCGGTGGCCGGCGAAGCAGTGGTCCAGGTAGTCCGAGTTCCAAAGCGCGGGCGCCGGGCTGGGTGCCTCCTCCATGGCAAGCTCTGTTCCGCCGGTCCAGCGCCGGAGCCTCCAGCGTTGCCGGGGACCCGCGTACAGCCTCCGTGGGCCGCGGCGGGCCGTCCCGGGCGCTGCCGCCCCTCGCCCCTTCTCTGGGTTAGATTCGGCTGCAGCAACCCTGCTGAGCCCCGACTGCGTGCGGGAGAAGGGCGCGTCCAGCTCTGAGCTCCTGGGAGCTGGCAGCGGCGGCCAAGACTCGAGGTTAAAGTTTCCGGACCGGGCGGCTCCCCACCCCTGGCGCTATTGTTGGGGGTCCATGGGCTGAAGACCGCCCCCCAGTGGCCGGAGCCGGGAGCAGCCTCCGTACAAAGGCTGCAGCCCCCACCCCTGACAGCAACCGCGGCGCCGCTCCCGCGGACCCCCTCGCTGTCACCGAGCCCCCCAAACTCGTGGCGTGAGCAGAATACAGTGACCCTGTAAGGCACTTTGTCCGTTCATCAAGGCACCACATTTTCTGGGCCGAACAATGCACACTTCGCGCCTGGCGAAGCTCCTGCGTGCTGGGGATCCCGAGGTGAGTGGAAGTGGTCCTGATGGTTAAAAGGCTGCAGTACAAAGGTGGGGGGGGGGCGCGGGTAGACTGGGAGGGAGGAGACAAATGCGCTGGTGAACAAATCCCTCTCCATATTCTTTTTTGTGAAGCCAGAATGGCACCCTCTGCCCAGCCAGGCTTCCTAGGACAGCTACCACAGTAGCCTCAGCACCCTTTTCTGTCCAGCCACACCACCACACTTGAGGTACACAGGGCCGTTTTTCCTGAAAATAAACTATTATCGTAATGTTTAAATTTCCTGTTGATTTTAGTAAATTTTCTTAAAGAAGAACATGCCTGTGTCATTTTTTGTTTATAAAAATAGCAGCTTTATTGAGAGCTTCTTCATATATTATAAAATTCACGTTTTCATTTATTTTTTTAAAAAAGATTTCTTGAAATTTACTTTTAGAGAGAAGGGAAGAGAGGGAGAAAGGGAGAGAAACATCGATTGGTTGCTTCTCACACCCCACCGCAACCCTTCGGTCTGTAGGACGTCGCCCAACTCAACGAGCCACACCAATCAGGGCGAAAGATGCCTCGGTGTCACAACCATTTTCAACACTGTTAGGCAGTGGTTATCCAGAGTTACTCTAACTTTGACCCATGAACCCAGGTTTTACAAGCTGCTGTGACTGTAGAGTTTCTCACTGGGAAAGGCTAACAGGACAGTGCTTGTGGGATGGGGATGCTTAGGACTGGGACCTGTTGTCCTGTGGTGCAGTAATGGATGTTTCAGGGACACCAGTACACTAGTGATGCAAGGTTAAGTAAGTTTGGCTAGGTTTCTTTACCATATAACTTTTAATGCTCTCTAGTATAACTTGCGACCTATGACAGGAAGATAAAGTACCTAACGCTTTCTAAACTCGTGGTACAGGGTCCTGTGGACAATGGGTCTAGCAACACTGTTGGAGGGTATACAGTGAGGCAATGACTAGAAAGGAAAGCAAACAAAAAGTGCTACAAGTTTATTTACAAAAATAAATCATTTTCAGATGATGTGATTATTTCCCTATAAAATTTAAGAAAACCAATTTAAAAACTGGTTAGCTATAACATTAATAGTTTTATAGTATATCAGTAAAACCAGTTAAAATAAAGAAAATATCATATTTAAATACTATTAAAAATATAAAATTCCTAGCAATAAAATTAATAAGAAGTGTACCTGATCTATATGAAGAAAACCAAAGCCCCAGCTGGGTGGATCTGTTCATGGGAGCATCGTTCCTACACCAAGAGGCCAGGGCACATACCGAGGTCTCTGGTTCAATCCCCAGTCAGGGCACCAATGGGAGGCAACCAGTCAATGTCTCCCCCTCACACTGATGCCTCCCTTCCTCCCTCCCTCCCTTTCTTCCTTCCTACACATATCCTTGGGTGAGGATTAAAAAAATAAAACAAAAGCCAAACGTGTTCATTCTTGAAGAAAAAAGAACAAATGAGAAACATTTTCAAGGTTGCTGTGAAGATGTTAATTTCTCAAATAAAATTCACCCTTTTAAAGTATACAATTCAGCAGTTTTTAGTATATCCATGGAGTTTTGTGAACATTGCCAGTATCTAATTTTAGAACATTTTTCCTCATCTGCCAAAAAACCCAGGACCATGAGCGGTTACTGCCCACTCCCTGCGGCGTTCCCAGCCCCGGGCAACCACAGATCTACCTCTGTCCCTAAGGATTTACCGATGCTGGACCTTCCTTATAAATGGAATGATCCAACAGGTAAGCTTTTTGTGACTGACTTAGCATTAATTCTTAAAGTTCCATCTATGTTGCAGCTTACATCACACTTCATTCTTTTGTATGGCTGAATAATAATCCATTGCATGGAGGTGGCACATTTGATTTGCCCATTTATCAGTTGATGGACATTCAGGTGTTTTCACATTTTGGCTATTATGGATAATGCTGCTGCGAACATTCATGGATGAGTTTATTGTGTGGACATAGGTTTTGAATTCTCTGGGGCACATACCTAGGAGAGGAATCGCTGGGTTCCGTGGTAACCCTGTGTAAGGTTTTGAGGAACTGCTGGACTGTTTTCTAAAGTGGCTACACTATTTTACCAGCTTACTCATTTTTAAAAGTTATGAACGCTCACAGGAGAAATGGAACACTGTATGTCCGGCATTGTGCTGTGAGCTGGGGATACCTTGTTGAGAAAAACAGAGGAGGCCCCTACCTTTGTGGAGCTTCCAGTGACTTCAGTGGAGGAAGGAGACATTAAACAAGCAATTGACCAAATACAGCTAAAACTAAAATATGTTATTAAACAAAAGGGGCAGAAACTAAAATGATAAAATGATTACAATTTAGTGATATAAAATGAATGTCAACTAAGACAAGATTGAAGGGTTATGTGAAAAGGGAAATATATATATAAAAGCCACGTTTCCCACAGTCTACCAACAACAAACGCGCCCAGTCCAAAATGCTCGGCCTCGGAGATTTATGCTCCGCTCCCAGCAGCTGCGACTTGGGCACCAAAGCACTGGTCCTCTCTGCACTCGGCTATTCTCGCCTACACGTGCGGGTGACAGCACCTGCCTTGGAGTTACTGTGATTATCAGAAACCCTGTGGAAAGAGCACCTGGCACAGGTCACGAGGAGAACTTATTATTGTTATTACCTTTCCTAGGAGGGGCCTTAGAGCCATTAAAACAGAAAATGGTTCAAGGTAATGTGACAAGAAAGATCAGCTAATGGTGGAGACACAGGGCCCAGTTCTAGGTTCTCTTCTCTCCCAGATGTCAGAGGCATCTGGTCTTCTGGCTTTAAATACTGTCCCTGTCCCTGTGCCTCCCAACTGAGTGTCAGGCCACACCCTCCCCCACACTTTAGACTCACGTGTGCAGCTGCCTACTCGACATTTCCTCTTGCACGTCTAATCGAACATGTCTAAAACCAAACTTGTAACTTTCCCTCCCCAAAGCTACTCCACTGATAGCCTTTCCTCTGCAGGCTGACGGGGTGTCCTGGTCCCTCGGGGCACAAGCACCTGTGTCTGCACTCCTGCTCTGCTGGGACACCTCTCCCAGCATGACGAGCAGTACGCTTCGACCAGGCTGCGAGCACCCTGAAGCCAGGGCTGTTCCGTTCACACCGTATCCCCAGCTCCTAGCTCAGTGCTTGATCCATAGTGGGATAATATTCATTGAACAAGTAAGTTGAGTTGGAAACAGTTCATAGGAATCTGTCGTGTACTGTAATAGGAGCATGTTTACACTGCTTTGGCAGCACCTAACATTGTGTGCTCGGGTGTGCTGGGGAAGGCTTTTGAGAAATGCAGGAGCTGGGCTTTGGAGAATGTTTGCTTTCAGCAAGGAGGCCATGGCACCTGTCCTGCAAAGGGAGGCGGGAAGAGCGTGGCCGGTGGCCACCAGCAAGCAGCAGAGGGTAGGAGATGAGGTGAGAGAGGCTGCCTGCAGCCGGGCAGCAGGCTGCAGGGAACACTTAGGATTAAGTATTCGAACCAACACCCTCCCTGCCAGTAGGACCCCTCCCAGACTGTCCCAGTCTGTTCCAGAGGGCTCTCCACAGGGTCAGTCCTCAGGAAGTGAATCAGTTCCATTACCAGGCACTCCGAGGTGTGGTGGCTGCCCCGCCCAGAGGCTAATGTTTTTTGGCCAAGGTCCTGAGTTTGCCGAAAAGAAAAACCAACAAGCAGATCATAACACATGTTCTCCCTTCAAGGAGGCATTTCCTGCTGGCAGAGGCACTGCACCCACGGGCATTGTCCTGAAGAAGGTGGGCTGCAGCAATGTGGGCTGTCCAGTGAGTGGGCAGCCAGTCATGGCCATGAATCCCAGATATTTGGGGGTACAGGCCAGCAGCTCGACAGCTTTCTCTTCTGAGGACATGTTGCCTTCTGCCAATGTTCGTGTAAAATGTATTATGTAGATGAAGGGCGTGTGGCTACTCCTCATTTTTTAAGTGACATAAAAAAAAAAACCCATCAGTTTGATTTATCTGCTATAAATGTACAGAAATCAATTCTAAGAGAATGCATTTTGAAATAATGGCATTTTCAAATCTTAATCCTATTATAGACATGCTGCAGTGTGGTGATTAAAGCAGGTGGTAGGACTATTGGGTCCTGGGTTCTATTTAAAAATCTGTCATCTGGCCCTGGCCCATGTGGCTCAGTTGGTTGGAGAATCGTCCAGTAACTGAAGTGTTGTGGGTTCAATTCCTAGTCAGGGCACATACCTAGGTTGTGGGTTCAGTCCCTGGTCTTCTGGGTGCATGTGGAAGGCAGTCGATCAATGGTTCTCTCTCATATCAACATTTCTCTCTCTCCCTAAAAGCAATGAGAAAAAACTGTCCTTGGATTTAGATGAGGATTAAAAAAAAATTAAAGCTCTATCATCAATACAATTCATAATCTTGTGAGGTCTTTTTTTAAACTTATTTTCCCTCAAGTTCTTCATTAATAACATCTGATTCCTGAAAGTCACTTGCTTCACGAGGCCCAGCAGCGAGGCAGGAACTAATGGAACCAACAGATGTGACAAGGAAAGCCCTGCCTCTCTAACTAAAGAGGTAAAGCTCAATGAGTATCGTCAGACAGCAAGGCAACTAACTTTTAAAGAGCCAACTAAGTAGAAAGCAGTTCTTGAATATTTGCATTGAAATAATTATTGAAGAGAAAGGTAAGTTCCCACTGCAGTGTACAACTCAGAAAGAAAACAGCATCCTACCAAGTTCCTACAGGCCAGTGTGAGAGCTGGGTAACCCCGAGCCCCACAAGCCAGCAATGGCTGAGGAAAGAAAGACAGAAGCTGTGATTCTGTCCCCGGCGGTCACGATTTGGTTCTGGTCTCCCAGTACAATTCTGGCTGTTCTTCTGAATGACTGTGAGCCCTTGTGATAATATTTAACTTTCTTCTCTTATCACCTCACAATCCCCAATTTTTTTTATTTTGAAAAATTTCAAAACCACGAAAAAGGTGAAATTGGAACTCACCAACTGAACACACAAGACAAATAGTGGAGATTATTCAGGGTGGAAATCTTGCATTTCCTCCCTCCCCGCGAAGACTGGCGAAGGGCAAGGCTGGGGACACGGGGCGGTGAGCAGACTTCTGGCTCGCTGCCAAGTCTCCCACGTCGCCCACCAGGAAAACACGCTGCTGTTGGCTTCTTGACAAAACTTCAACTTCCGTCTGACTTCCCAAGATGTAAACAGATGACAGATATGTAGCAGGTTGTACTTTAAATGGGTGGTACCTTCCTTGTAATGAAAGTGCTCGGGCAAAACGTCAGAATAATAGAGCAGTAACTGCAATTTGTAAGTCTAAATAAAGTACTATGTTGAACGAGGGTGGGAATACTTTAAAAAACACACAGGAGGCTTAAGAAAACATTCTGGGCAGAATGGGCATCCTTTCAGGATGTCCCACTTTGGGTTCCTCAGACTCTAAACAAAGGACTGTGGTTCAGTTAGTTAATTTAGGAGATAATTCCACGAATTAGAAGTGAGAGTGTGGAGAAGGTGAGACAGGGACGGGAGAAAGGCAACAAAGGGCGAGTTAATGAGATGGTTTTAGCTTAGGGCAAGTGGGGCTCGATTCCACTTAGGATTGAGTGAGCAACGTGGAGAATGTACACAGTGTGATGGGGAAGCTGGGGTTCTTCCTAACCAGCCCCCCTCCCTATTTGGGGGTTGCTCTGGGGGCATTAATCCCCAGCCCTTGTAGACAGCCCTACGTGCAGGCTGAGCACATTCCTGTGGGGCAGGAAGGCAGAGAACAGTGGCATGCATTGGAAAGGGGTCCACAGGGCTGCCCGTGAACTGGAAGTAGGGTTGGGCAGGGTGTCTACACGGACATCTCTTACCAGTAAGTTGTTAGAAAGACACTCTGCCCAACTGTTCCACATTCATGGACGTTCAATATCAAAGGCAGACATCCAGAAATATGCCTTCACATGTACATTAGATTTTCAACAAGGGCACCAAAACAATGCAATGGGGAAACGCTAGTCTTTTCAACAAAGTGTTGGACTACTGGGTATCCACAAGCAAAGGAATGAAGTTGGTCCATTCCCTACCTTATACCATATACAAAAATTAACTCAAAATGGATCAGAGACCTAAATATAAGGCCTAAAACTATAAAAATCTTAGAAGAAAATGTAGGGGTAAATCTTAATAATCTTGGCTGTGCCAATAGTTTTTAAAACATAACAACAAAAGAACAAGGAACCAAATTATAAACTTGGACTTCATCAACATTAAAAATGTCCTTCAGCCCTGGCTGGTGTGGCTTAGTCGCCTGAGCGCTGGACTGTGAACCAAAGGGTCACGGGTTCAATTCCCAGTCAGGGCACATGCCTGGGTTGCAGGCCAGGTCCCCAGTAGGGGGCACAAGAGAGGCAACCACACATTGCTGTTTCTCTCCCTTTCTTTCTACCTCCTATCCCCTCTAAAATGAAATAAATTGATTAAAAAATTTAAAAAAATACTTGAACAATGATTAAAATAAAATAAAAAAAAGAATATGAAAAGACAACCTACTGAATGGAAGAAAGTATTTGCAAATTATATATCTGATAAGGGACTTGTATCTAGAACATATGAACTTTTGCAGCTCAACAATAAAAATACAAATAACCCAATTAAAAATGAGCAAAGAATCAGAGTAGACCTGTCTCCAAAGAAGATATACGTGCAAGTGGCCGATAAGCACATGAACAGACACTACACCTCATTAGCCATCAAGGAGATGCAAATCAAAGCCACACTGAGACACCACTTGCACATCCCACTGACTAAGACAGCTACAACAGGGCAGTGAGGAACAAGGGTGTGGAGAAATCAGGAGCTGATATACTATTGTTGGGAAATGTATAATGGTGCAGCTGCTTTGGAAAACAGTCTAGCAGCTGCTCAAGAGGTTACATATGTAGCAGATCCAATGACCCAGCAATTCTACTCCTAGATGTATACCCAAGAGAATGAAAAACGTGTGTCCACACAAAAACTTGTACATAAATGGTCACAGCAGCATTATTCATTATAACCAAAAAATGGAAGCCCAAATGTCTATTAACTGATAAATGGATAAACAAAATGTGGTATGTATATACAATGGAATATTATTCAGCAATAAAAAGAAAGTACTGGTAGATGCTATCACAGAGATGAACCTTGATGTTTGATTAAGTAAAAGTAGTCATAGGTCATTGTGTGGCTCTATTTGTAAAATGTGTAGAACAAACAAATCTCTTTGTGAACTAGATGGATGGTCCCGAGGGCTGGGGGATGAGAGGACTGGGGACTGACTACTAAAGGGCACTGGGTTTCTTTTTGGTGCAACAGTGTAAAATTGTGGCAGTGGTTGTACAACTCCATGGATTCACTAAAAACCATTGAATAGTATACACTTTAAATTAGTGAATTTGCAAGGTGTGAATTATCTCAATAAACTTGTTACAAAAATAATCAAATGCATGGAAGCATAAAATTTTTTCTAATAAGTCTCATGTTTTCGCTATTACACGTCATTAGAACAAAACCTTCTAAATAAGCACATTTTGTCCACTTGGTATGAGTCTCTGCTACATGCCTGTGTCTGTTCTTCAGTAAATGGAAGTATGTTTCCATGTGCCAATGCTTGTTCTTCTTCCATCACGAGCTTTTTAGATGGTCTTACTTCTTTCAGATGAAAGGGAATGAATGGGCACAAATAGTTTGATAGAGGAACGCAGGCTTAGAACATCTCCAGCTTTGCATTTCCTAGGTCTTCCTCAGCTTTGATCTGGAGTAACCTTTCATGTGATATAAAATGAAAAAGCAGAACAGATCTCATTCCTCACTGGCACAAACCCTCCCTTGGCGTACACACTGCTTGGAGAAAACACCCAGGCTCCCTTCACAGGCTCTAAGGCCCCAGGGACCCGGCTCTGGCCACGTTCCATCCTGCAGTGCTCCTTCCTGCTTCACAGCCCACCCCACTGTTGTCATTTTTTTGGACTGTCCTTCCTGTCACATGGTAGGTAGTCAACAAGTATTTGTTAAATACATGTAATTTTGTCATTCCCTAGATATAACACAATTTCAAATATCTTTTTAAATTGAATTTATTGGGGTGACACTGATTCACAAAACCATGCAGGTTTCAAGTGTACAACTCAAGCCAGCGTCATCTGCACCCTGCGCCCAACGCCCCAAGCAGTATCCTCCTGTCCGCACTTATCCCCCTTTGCCCACCTCCACCCACCTCTACCCCCCTTTCAAGGCAGGGTGTTACTGTGAATTCATGGCTGAATTTTGGAGGAGGGGGGTCTGTAAATCTTCTATTTTGCAAAACTGTATACGGGAATGTGCATTTTTCTAGAGAGAGCAGCCATCACTTCCATTAGATTTCTACAAACATCTGTGACAGAAAACAAGGTACTGATCTGGGTTAAGGGAACAAGGCTCAGAGGAAAAGGGAGACAAAGGTGAAGAAGTCAGCAGCTTAAATGGCCACAGTGCACTACAAGTGTATTAGAGTGAGTGTGACCGTAGAAGGAAAACTGCCCTTGTCTTACTCTTAATGGTCGTCAGTACTGAGGAAGTTCTAAGGGCATCAGCGATCCCCATGCCTAAAACAAACACAAGCTGACTGCTTATGTTCTCACTCCCTGACAGTTAGCTATAGAAAAACACATGCCAGCCCCCCATCCCAAGACTTGATATACCTTCTGCCCTATCAGGGGTGTGCTGAGTATGCGTGAGGTTGAGAATCATTAATCTAACGGATGTACCTAAAAGAATCCATCTAAAAATCCAGTCAGGTTTTAGCAAATTGTCTATAAAGAATGCGAAATGTCAGCCCTGGCTGGCGTAGCTCAGTGGATTGAGCGCGGGCTGCAAACCAAAGTGTCCCAGTCGATTCCCAGTCAGGCCACATGCCTGGGTTGCAGGCCATGGCCCCCAGCAACCGCACATTGATGTTTTTCTCTCTCTCTTTCTCCCTCCCTTCCCTCTCTAAAAAATAAATAAATAAAATCTAAGAATGTGAAATGTCCAAATGGCAGTGTATGTACATAAACCAATAAAACACGTTAATGGCAATTTAATTTGAATTATCTGTTCAAAAAATTCCCAACTTATAAATTAGTATACATTTGTGTGTATGTTTATACAAACAAATATACATCTGGAAATTTAATATCTTTTCAAAAAATTTCCAACTTACAAGTCTGCATATGTTTACACAAACAAACATTCACATCCACCCCCCCTTCTTAAACCCAGCCTTCTATAGGAGGAGGCTTCTGGGGCTCTCAGATGTCTACAGCAGGCAGAGCTGGTGCTTCTGGGAGCTCCGCAGTCCTGCCACTGACTGCTGGGTGGGCTGTGCACCCCCAGAGCAGGGTCCGTCCTGTGGCACCACAGGCAAGAAGCTGCTTCTGCTCTTTTCCAGATGCACAGTGCAGACGCCATTTCTGTTGCATTCATGTATCCAGGTGCTTGTAGAGTCTACGACTTTTCTCTTTTTTATTTCTGTTGCCATGTTTTTTCCAGGGCTTCCCAGTGCTGCTCTCAGAGCTCACAGTGGCTGTGGTCACCAGGCCACTCCCAGGCTTGTAGCCCATCACAGCCTGCACGCCTCTGGTCAAAGCTCTCACATTTTCCTAACAACGAGAGAGAATATTGAGCTATCAGCAGTCTCCTTTAGAAGATATGCACAGTACTGTTTACTGAGAACTCTAAGATAGTGGACTTCCATCTCTTTACCTGGTCTTTTCTCCCCATTAAATGCTAAGTTTTCAGTACTGTGTGTTCAGTTCATTTTCTTTCCCTCAGCTTTGCTTAGTTCCACAGCCTAAAAAATGATCTGTACCAAGAATCACAGAACTAGCTACTTCTTGGAAATCTGTCTTGATATTGAAATTCAACCTGCCTCAGGCTACGTTTAGTTAGAAACTGACTCTCTGTACTTTTTTAGTGAGTAGTATAAAGAACCCACCCAGCTGCCAAGAAGGCGCATTCTCTCCATCTTCCTCATATATTATACACAGGCAGTGGGCCTCTAAGTTCTGTTGATCCTGGTCTCTGGAATTTCGTTCTTTTCTGCCTGCTGCTCTAACCCAGGTGCTCATTAGCTTCATCAGGCTACTGCAAGACTCATTTCTACAAGAGTTCTCTAATCATAACCTCTCCATTCCTGCCCTCACAAATCTCTGACAGCTCCTGGTAGCCGGGGGAATCAAGTTCAGATCCTCTCACAGGGCACACAGTGTCACCTACAACATGGCCTCTTTAATGATAAACCCCACATTCCCGTAAGCCTTTGTTCACGCAACTCCTTCTGCCTGGAAATCTGGCCCTCGCCACTCCTTCCAACTGGTGCATTCTTATTTGTCTCTCAAAGTCCAGCTTAAACATCGCTTCCTCTCTACAGATAGCTCTCAGTCACCCACTCTGCTCTCAGCCCCGACACAACTGTTCTCCGGTCCGGGTTCAGAGTCCTCGACTCACACCTCTCTCCCACACCTCACATGGCACGTTATTTGTTACCTTGCCAATCTTCCCTTTGCTAGAATGTGATCCCCATTAAGGCAGTAATTGCGTCTTATTAAAAAGTTATTGTAAACTTGTGATTTAAGTAAAAAAAAAAGTAAGTTTACTGAGTAGAAAAATTTTAATCTGATATAATTTTTAAGTATAAAGCAGTATGTCTTGGCCCTGGCTAGTGTAGCTCAGTGGATTGAGCGCGGGCTGCGAACCAAAGCATCGCAGGTTCGATTCCCAGTCAGGGCACATGCCTGGGTTGCAGGCCAGGTCCCCAGTGGGGGCCACGTGAGAGGCAACCACACACTGATGTTTCTCTCTCTCTCTTTCTCCCATCCTTCCCCTCTCTAAAAATAAAAAAATAAAAAATAAATATGTAAAAATTGTTAAAAAAGAAACATTTAAAAAAATGACAAAAAAGAAAAGTTAAACAACAAAAAAAATTAAATCAGAAAAATCGATTTTAAAAAAGCAGTATCTCATGGTCTTCTTAAAATAGTAAATCATTACTCTAGAAACTAAAGCTTAGATAATTATTCCATAATTAACTATAACTTTTCAGCTTCCTTATACATGACCTTTAGAAACTTTTTGCAAACACTTAAAACTTTAGCTTAAATGTCCTGTATGACAGTGATAGACCCAAGAAAGAACCTCTAATTTTTCTGCTTATTGGTAAATTTTCTTCTAAATACTGGCAGACTTGAAGTAATTCAAACGAGGAACCACAACAACTTAAATCCACGCCCAGCTTTGCCACTTAAAACCAGTGTCGTTAAGTAAGTCACCATGCTGGCTGCAGCCTCGGTGTCTTCCAGGATGAAGGGAGACGGTATGCCTGCTCAGGTGCCTCGGCAGGACCGCTGCATTAGGCGCACAGGTAAGGTGCCGCACAGATACAGGAAAAGTCACTCTCTGTATGCATCTGACTCCTGTGTCCTATTTTTATAGTTATAGTAGTCACAAAAGTATTTAAAAATATATATTAGGTATGATTATATGACTTAACTGTTCTGCACATCAATTTGGTCTTTAAAATGCTATATACAAATTGTACCTGTGATGTGTCAGATGGATACTAGACTTGACAGGGTGACCACTGTTAAGTTACATAAATGTCTGATCACTATGTTATACACCCAGAACTAATATAATATTGTACGCAACTATAATTGAAAAAGTTTTTTAAATTAAAAAATTGTACCTGTGATGTAAACACAGTGATTAAAATGTGGTAGCTCAGAGAAAAGACAATCCACTAAATGCAAGAAAAATCTGCAAACTATAAACGATAAAGGCTCATATCCAGAATATACGAAGAACTCTTACAACCCAACAACCATGAACAATCCTCCAGAGAAGAGATATGTACATGTGCCAATGAGCACATAAAAGCAGTCATTAGGGAAGCATCACGTCACTCATACTAGGGTGGCTAAAATAAAAAAGGGAGAGCCCTGCTGGTGTGGCTCAGTGGGCTGAGCACTGGCCTGCGAACTGAAAGGTCACTGGTACAATTCTCGGTCAGGCCACACGCCTGGGCTGCAGGCCAGGTCCCCAGTAGGAGGCGTGTGAGAGGCAACTGATAGATGTTTCTCTCCCTCTCTTTCTCCCTCCCTTATGTTTCTCTTTTTCTCTCCCTCTCTAAAAAGTAAAAGTAAATAAAATAAATTAGAACTCTCATACATGCTAGTGGGAATGTAATGTAGCAGCTACTTTGGAAAGTTACATGTGGAGTTACCATATGACCCAGCATATCTTAAAAATATACCCAAGAGAACAGAAAATGTATGTCCACACAAAAACGTGCCCATGAATGTTCACAGTAGCATTATTCATAATAGACAAAGAGTGGAAACAACCCCAACATCTGTCCATCAACTGATTAAATGGATAAACAAAATGTGCTCTATCCACTCAATGAAATATTACTTGGCAAGAAAAAGGAATAAAGTCCTGCTACATGGATGAACCTTGAAGTCACTAAAGCCAATTAAAGAAACCAGTCCCAAAAGACCACACAGTGTATGATGCCATTTATAACAAATGTCCAGAACAGGCAAATCTACGGAGAAAGTAAATCAGTGGTTGGCAGGGCCTGGTGGGAGAGGGAAATGGAGAGCAGCTGCTAATGGGTCTGGGGTTGCTTTTTAGAGTCATAAAAATGTTCTAAAACTAGTGGTTATGGTTGCACAACTCTGTGAATATAACATAAACTACTAAACTGTGTGTTTTAAAAAGGTGAATTTAGTGTTACAATGTGTGAATTGTATGACAACAAAAATGTTACACAAAATGCGTTGGAGGAGAAATTAAGAAAAACTTTAAAACTTACCTGATGGAAAAAGCTTTTGTCAACAACATTTTCAATCTGTTCTCTTTTTTTCCCCCCTGGCTGTGTTTTTGTTTCACCACCATCCCATCTGTTCTCTCGTAGTCGCTGGTGTTGATACTGAAAGGTCACGGGGTCTCTTCCCGGAGGAGGGTGACAATACAGAAGTTTACCCTGTAAAGACCACATGAACGGTAGCAGTGCATCATAAGTGCCACCTGTGCCATTCCAGGACAGAGAAGCAGTCCTCAGACAAGGCCCCCCACCAAGCACCCTCAACAGGCTTCCCGCTTTCGGTGACCAGCTGAGCGGAGCTGGCGGACTGCAGCTGAAGAGCCCATTAAACTGATGGCGGGCCTTGGTGTTCCAGAGGCCGAGCCTCCTGCCACAGCCGCCATCTCTCCTCTTTTGTGCTCCTTTTTGCCTCATTTGCACTTCCACTGAAGCATTCCTCGGCACGCTTCTATGACCACATTTACGATGTGCATCTTCTAAAGCAAAGACCAGGTCACAACTAGAGAGTGTGGCTGCGCTAACGGGGATGCGGGGCCAGCGGCAGCTGTTCGCTGGGGCAGACCTCCCTCGTTCCACCATAGACACTCCAAACACTGTGACTGTTTCTAATGGGCCCTCCCATCCTCCAGGTCTATAGACGGTAAGTAAATAATTTACTCACAAAGGATTCCACTATTTTCCCCTGACCTGAGGGCAAGAGAAGGTGACTGACCACCTTTATCTCTCTGCTCCAAGAGCCCACTAACGTGGCCCCGAGGAGGGAATACAGCCAAATCCTCAAACTTGTTATCACTAGGGCCTTGTAATGCTCATTTGTGGAAAGAATTAAGAGCTTAATACATACAAATTATTGGGGCTAATTATATGTCAGGCACTGAGCTTCATGGTGTGTGTGTATCTCCACACCTGTACGTTGTTCTCACGTATTTTCCATAATAATCTCATGAGACAGGTAGTGTTAGCTGCTTTCCCTGATGAGGAGAACCCAAAACTTAGCACGTCCTCATTTATAATATGAGAATAATAACCTCACAGATTTATGTGCATTTAATGAGATAATACATGTAAAACATTCAAAACTATTCCCAGCAGGGTTAGCTCTGAATAAATGTTAGCTATTACTATCGTTACTAGTAAGTGTAGGGCATATAAAGAACTGTATTACATGGAAGACTGTGCTATAGGAGTTGGAAAAACCAGACATTAATTTATTGCTTTCACTGACAACAGGTGTTCAGAGACCTTCATCTCTCACATTGTTATCAGTCACTTCACTGATTTATATGATGCTAGCTCTCTTGCATCAAGAATATAAATTCAGTTATAAAACAATCTCAATGAGACTATATCTCCTTTATAATTTAACAGGTCGTCATTTCCTAAACTCATACCATGGAGAAAGAAGACCTAATTATTCAAGAGCGACAAAAAGCAGGGCTCACTCACGCTGACGTAATCCTTCAGGACGTAGCGTGCAGACCTCGGCTGGTCCGGCTGCCCGTGCGCTGTCATGAACCCCCGCATACCTGTGAGGAGAAATGGATTCCACAAAACCTAAGTCAGAGGACAGAACACCACAGCACAGAAAACTGAGGTGATGGAAGCTTAGTCCTTTCCCTTACCTCACTATGCATCCTAACTCTCTACTTTAAAGTCAATTAGCATTGTAGAAAATATTTTGGTTAGCATTATAAAAACAGCCCTGATAACCCAGGAGAAGAGACCATGTTGTTTTATCCAATATCCTAGTACCACATTGTAACACATACAACTTCTACTCCACTTGTTTCTTCCATTTTTTTATTTTAAACATTTATTCAAGGAGCCTACTTGTAGAATACTACATTGTCAATATTAGCAGCAAACCAAAAGCAATAGAGCAAGTCCTCTTATACACATCCTCACACTTCTTCCAGTCTCCCAAACACACAACAGAGGTTCCTTGACACTAACTCAGAAGGGAGTAGCAGAGCACAGTGGGTAGAATACAGGCTCTGGCAGACCAGCCGGGTTCAAAACTCAAGCTCCCTCACATACTAGCTGTGTGTTGGCTCTTTCAGTTTAGAAGAAAACAGAATCCCAGAGTTCACACCACACGCAAAAGTACATTTAGGCAGATTAAAAATGTAAAGGTTTTAAAAAATAGAAGATACTACAGACAACAGTTTTATCCTTTTGGGATATGGAAGGCCTTCCCCAAGTAAAAACACCAAATCCAATCAAGCCAAGGGAGGAAAAAAAGAAAAAAACTCATCTATTAAAATTGTTAACTTCTGTAGTCCCGAAGAAACCACAAACATTGGGAAAAACATTTGTGGCACATTTCATAAAGCACAAGTCAAGACGAAAACAAGTAATATATAGAGAAAAGGTGATTCCCAAAAGAAATATGAGTATAAGTCACTAACAACATATGAACAGCCGCTCCAACTGCACTGGTATTTAAAGAAAATACACACTGAGATTTAGCAACATCTTTAAAATAAGCCGTCAGAGACCATTCTTCATGGACCTACAGGCGGCAATCTTTGAAACTGCATGTGCAGTCATCCCTTCCTACGAGCTGGCTTTCCCCTTCCTCTGCCTGCATTAGACGGCGTACGGAGACAGGCCTGAGTCAGGGATCCGGGCTGTCATCCAGGCTAAGCCACCCGCCAGACCCCAGCTTGGGCAAGGTATGTCACTTTGATTTCAGGTTACTTGTCTTACAGAGTACGAGAGGTGGTGTGATCTTCAGGGTCTCTTCCTGTCCTATGATTCTGTGACTATACCAGTCTTAACCACAAATGCTTATTAGTATTTATCCTCTTTAAAGACTCTCAATGAAGGTGAAATTCAAGGTCTGATTTAAGCGTTGTTCCTATCAAATCACCTTTTTCCGCCAGTAAATTCTCAAACTGAACTCCTTCCTAGGTGGAGACAACTCCTTTACAGGCAGGTTACACACGCACAGAAAGGTTTCTAACAGTGCTATTTCTTTAGGTAGATACAGGTTCCCCAGACCACCTTTCAAGTTTCTGGTTAAGGTAAACAACTCACAATCAAAAATGGAAAAATGATATGCTAAGGTAACTCCCATGTAGAACTGGGGTAAAACATGGAGGTGGGACAGCTGTGGACTCATTTTAAAGTTAACCAAGGCTTACAAGGGACTGATGGAAGGGGAGGGAAGACATCTTGGGTCCCTCTCCTAACCAGCTCTGCTGCCGACTCTGAGGTCTTTCCCTTCTGACGCTCCCTTCATAACTCTGTCCTGCTCTGATGAGCATATACATTTTTCCCTAAATACTCCCTTTCTTCCCTGTTTGGGAGAAGTCTCCACAAGAAGCCTACGTAGCCTCAGGTCAGAACCATGGTGCCTACACTCGGGAGCCAGGGTACCATCAAGGTGGTGAATGTGCCCGGGCTTTTCCTTTGCAAGGCTGTGGTAACTGCTAGCTGGACCTGTGCTCCCTGCAGGAGCTCGGAACACTGCCCACACCAAGGCCTCCTATGTGGGAAGGGCCTGAGTCAAGGGAACTAGGGACCGGCTTCTGTGACGACGGTTAGGCAAGGGCAGACCTGGGGAAGAGGCAAGGGATACAAAGCATCTCCTCCTCTAACTTCTAAAAAGCACTTAGCACAATGAAGTAAAATACCACTCAGGTAGCGCTCAGCTCTCCCTCCTTTACTGCTGGACCCTGAAGCCACCACCAATCCAGCTACCTGGAGGAGGCCACTTTCTAGGCAAGGCCAGCAGAGAAAACAAAAATATCAACCATGGAAGATTAACTGAAAAATGCTAAGAAAAAATTTTGGATTTATTATCTTTGCAGAGGACTACTTTTCTCACTAGCTGTATTATTTTTGGTTCATGTTTTAAAATAAATAGCAACTCACATCCATAAGCTGTCAGCAGTTCTTCTGATGTTGGAGGTCGATGGGGATCTTCATCCTCTCTAGGCTTTATGATATTAATGCCATAGGTAGCTTCTAAAACATGTCTTGGAATATTCTGGCAAATGTAAGCTTGTCAAGGAAACCACCCCTTGAACTGAACCCCCCTCCCCATGGCATCTGACACGTGCTTGGAAGAACATGGTACTTCAGCACTTCTATGGAAAAACCCTTTTCACCTCTCCAAAAGAGCAGCAGAGGTATTCATTCATTTAAAAAGACTTTTTAAAATGAAGCCTTATGCACCAGTGATCACTTCCAAATGAATCCTTCTAAGTGACATTAAAATATCTCTGAAATACATCGTAAAGGTGACACATTTTTATTTAAATGAACTATCAAATTTGTAAGATGATCCTAATTCAGACACAAAGCACAAAGTCTGTTTCTGATCCCTACACCTCTGTAAGCAGAGGCTATTTTTCTTCCCTTGCCTAATTACCCAGAGTCTTCTTAACCTACTTGTGACGTTCTATCGCTGTCTTGTACTGGTTATTCATGTTCGTGCCGCACATCCCTGACTGACTGAACCCTGAAAGGGCAGGATCCACATCGGATTCACACCTGCATCCTCCACAGAACCCAACCTAATCTGACTTGTAATAAATGCTTTGAAATTCTCCAGGTTATTACAAGTAGATTTAACGCATTCTTTAAAAAAACTTTTCAATTAGTTTACTTCCAATATTATTTTGTATTAGATTTAGGTGTACAAGTGTAGTGGTAAGACAATTACATAATTTTATTTATTTTAAATAAGATTTTATTTACTTTTAGAGAGAGGAAGGGAGAAAAGAGGGAGAGGAACATCAATGTGCGGTTGCCTCTTGCATGCCGCCTACTGGGGACCCAGCCCACAACCCAGGCACATGCCATGACTGGGAATGGAACCAGCGACTCTTTGGTTTGCAGTCCAGCACTCAATCCACTGGGCCACACCAGCCAGGGCCAGTTACATAATTTTAAAGTGATCCCCCAATAAGTCTAGCCCCCACCTGGCACCATCCATAGTTATTGCAGTATTACTGGCTACATTCCTTATACTGTACTTTATGCATTCTTTTAAACAACTGTACCCTATGTTAGAGATATACTATATTTTACTTATCATAGTGAATGAATTCTTACTCATTATTTCTTATAGAAAGAGGAAACAAAATGGGGTAAACAAAAGTTGTGCCCTTAAGTGTAGTTATGAAGAATCCTGTCAAGAATCATGCAGGGCCTGGGATTCGATCCTAATTATAAGTTAGCAAATTTGCATGCCACGCTTCACGGAGTCTCCTCTTCTGCCAGCACCCATGAAACAGTAAGACTAACTTGTTAGCTTTAAGTAGGGTTAAACCTTAGACCCTGCAGTTCTTAACAGATCTATCTATGAGTACGTTTTCCATGCCAGACTCTAGCCTAGCTGCTTAATGTGAGTTAACTTGTTATACCACTGACAGCAAAGTTCCTAATCTGTACTTGCTAACTGTGAGATCTGCGGCAAATTGTTTAACTTCTGTGTGCCTCAGTTTCCTCAGTAACAGTACCCACCTCAAGGAATGTCTTGAAAATGAAATGAGGTATTACTTGTTAAGTGTTTAACAAATTACATAGCAAAAATTCAATACACGTTAGCTACGGTTAAATTCTCCTAACTGTGAGGCAGAGATTACTGCCCTCATTTAATAGAAAGGGAAAGACTCTGGAAGGTTAAGCAAGTTTTCCAAGGTCACTCAGTAAAACGGCAGTGTCAGGATTCAAATAGGCTTGCAACTGGTGGCCAAGATCCCAGCCTGCGATCCTCCACTTATACCAGGCTGCCCTGCTGCAGCCAGGACGTGAGGCTCTCATTCTGAAGTGCTGCTGCTGTCTTGCTGCATGAACCTGGGCAGAGCACTAGTAAGTAAGTATTTCAGGTTTTCCATTCTCAGATACCAGTCCTGAATACATCAAATGCGAGGCAATGTCCAAAATAAACCCAAAGCCCCAATTCACACATAACAACCAGGGTCTTTGCAAAGCAGAAAGGATATTAGTGATATAGGTGGAATGTGATCCCTCATCTGGTCAATTGGGAGGATTCCACTGCAGATCATCTCCGCCTTGGTAGAGACAAAGGATGGCATCACCAGGCCTGGGCAGTCACATAGGCAAAGGCCAGGTTCCACAAAGAGAGTCTGAAAGACACGTGAGAGGTTTATGTGGGCCTACAGCAGTGGAAGGGAAGGAGCGGCACATGAAAGGCATTCAGAAAATACCCAGCAGGAGGAACTGGCTGAGATGACACAGAGGCCAATGCTTAGAAATGAGTACCTGAAAATGCTTGGTGTGCCCAGGTGTGGCAGACACGGACACTTTCTTGTTGCCCATGATGGTGTTGATTGTTGAACTCTTACCCACATTCGGGTAGCCCACCTGGAGGAGAATGAGAAGTCACTGAGCAGCCAAACGGTGCATCTATCAAAGACCCAAAGGTATTACACGAACAGTGGCAGCTCCAGCACAAGCGTCTACCTGATTCGGAAGATGATCTGTGCTGCACATTGTTTGTTGTCAGGCACCCTCCCCCCTCCCATGGTATGGTTGTATTTATTCCAATTTGTCTCCAGTGACGAACAGTCAAGCTAAATAAATGCATTTCATTTTTATAGGTTTTGCTCTAAGAGGAGATGCTATAGTGAAACTCACTGCCTGGTTCCCAGCTCTTCCCCACCTCCCACCAACAGGCATTTCAGAGTTTTCACTGGACCTCCCATACTGGGTGAAGCTCAACATCAGGCATTTTCATCACTACAACATACCATTACTTTTATTAACATCACCAAGTTTCTGTCTTGCTGGGCAAAAACTTAAAACGGTACAATGACTTGATATGGGTTATCAAGTTACTAAAACTCTTCAATTACTCTTGGGTTCTGAGAGAAACAATATCCATTGTTCTACCTCTGCCTCTCCCCCAGCTATCAATAAATATGAAATGTTGCATTGCCTCACATCGAGCAGGTCATATCCGGGAACAAAAGTAGTTCCAAAATGACAAGCAAACTTATTGCTCAAACTATGCCGCTCTTGTTCTCTGCTTTTTCTCAGGCTTTCCCCCGGGCCTCCAAATCCAATTCACGCCCTTACGTGGTTCCGAGAATCCTCCCAGCACGAATGGAAGATTATAAAATGCCAATCCCATTTGATATAAAATCCCAACCTGTCCATCTCTATTCTAAGACCTAAAGTGGACTCACTCCTACCAACCCAGTCTCCACTCTGACCACCCTTCCAGCTCCAGCCACTCAGTCACATGCCGTGCCACGAACCCACTCTTCCATTCCTGGGGCTCTGCTTCAACATTCACCTTCCATCTGTCTGGAATGCTCTTCCACCGTCACTTGTCCAAACCTTACATCACACTTTAAGGTACAAACTCTTAAGGATTTTAGGTAACTGCTTACTACTTTCAATATTCTCCTAATGTTTTGTTTGTATCTTGATTACATGATATATTACTATATGCTCAAATGCTGTTTGTTGGGGGTTGGAGTAGGGGAAGGGACTTCTGTTGCTGTCATCCTTGCCCTGCCCAATCAGGCTCCCTCATGATAACTCCTACAGGGCGCTGAACATCCCCTGCCTCACCCTCATCACTTGGAATTGCAAGACCTATGAGGGTGGGACTGTGTCTGTCCTGTCTGCTCCATCCGTGGCCAGGGCCCAGCGGGGTACTCGGCGAGCAGCAGGTGGTCAGTGTTTGCAGAGTGAGTTAATTAACATGTGCCAGGATTTCTACAGAGACAAACTAAGAAAAGGAGGGAGGCTGCTTCTCATTCCCCTAAACATAAGAAAGAAATGAAGTAACTCATAGGGAAGCTGGGCTTTCTGGTACATGTGGAAAATAAGTTTTTAGCACATAGAGAAACGAAGGCTTAAATCTAAAAGACATTACATAACTTTTCCTTTCCATAGCAAGTCAAGTCAGTGCCACTACAGAACTGGGAATCCCACCTAGGTCTGCCTGGCTTCAGAGACAACTCTCTTAATCAATGAACTAAAAGAAAATTTGTGAAAAAACAAAAAAACACTTTGAGTTAGCTATACTTGATGCATAATTTAAGAGCTGGAAGACTGACATGATTTACTTTCTTCCACTGTCGTGTTCTCCCGGAGGGAAAATCTTTAGAATGAATACTTTCTCTAATGTTTCAATTTCCTCAGCTAAAGGTGTGGCCATCTGCAACCACACTGTATTCCCTGGGGGTCTGGGCACTTTTATCAGCCACCTTGAAATCGGGGTATACATAGTTGAGAGATGAGCTCTCCTTCCCCTTATCTGCAGTGTTTATGCAACTACAGCATTTATCATATTTTCCCTGGCCCCAAGTTGTTGGGAGTTTCCCTAACATACTCCTGGAACACTTACAGTATAAGTTGGCAAGGATCACAGGGTGCCAAAAGCCTACTTTTCCTAAAAAGCCTACCTTACCTAAAGGTAAGAACACAGGACTAGAAGTCCAAAGACAACCATAAAAGCTCTCACTCTAGTAGCTTTCAATAAGTCACACGTCAGGTAGGGCTGAACCGAGAGAGACTGGGGAAGACTAATACAAACAAGGCCGTAACCAACGTAAGCCTTGAGAAAGTTCATTCTTTTAAGTTGAACTCTGCCTGTCCCTCTGCCTTTCTCACAATGGCAGTGGCTATTAAGCGAGGATTAATGTTTCCCATGATACCAGAAACCTGGGTTCCAGTGCAGCAACCAAAGGATGGAGAATGAAGACCCTTGTGGTAAGTGATTTATGACATGACTCATCTTACCAGTCCAACGGTAAGGTGCTGATCTTTCACCTTCTTCCCGGTGTGCAGCCGCTTAAAGATGTCCAGTAACTCCTGCTTTGATACCAGGTGGCTCAAGTTGTATGTCTGCCTCTCCTGCGGGGGTTTCATGCCCTGAGCCTCAGAGTCCACCGCACAGCTTCTCTCCCAGTTCTGGCCACAGGCTTCTTCATTAGGGTTGTTGTCCTCTTCTGAACATGTCTGCCAATCTTCCTCCTCTTCCTCCTCCTCCTCCTGGCAGTCCTCATACTCACTCTCGTCTTCGTCACTAGGGACAGCTTCACTAACTGAGGGAGAATCCTTGTCTAGGAGATGTTGAGCCTCACCACGTGGAATTTCAGCCTCATCGCAGCTGGAGTTTTCAGAATCAGTTCCTTTGCCTTCTTCAGCCTCTCCACTCACTTGTTCCTGATGAAATAATAGAAAACAAAAACTCAGAAGTGTGTTAACAACTGCACTTTTTCACTCCAGTGAGAATACTCAAGCTGGTTACCCAAGATGAACAGAGGATAGGAAAAGTTCTGAAGGAGATTACAGAAGGTGAATACAGGGAGGGGCCGATGCAAGCCTTTCGGGGCGAGGACACAAGCACGCTACCAATAGTGGTGCCCTTGGGGAGGGAGGAGCGGTGGACCTCCACTTTATACTTTTCTGTGGTGCCTGAACCTTGTACAATAATATGTATTATTTTTGGAACACACAATCTGCAAGAAAGCGAGGGTTTAGGAAAGCCTATGGCAAGCTGAATTCTTTGGCAGTATATCACTTTGCAATGGACTGCAGAATAAAACAAAGCATTTCTCATTAACCACAAAACATTTTCTTCTTTGCACAAAGCAAGAAGGGTTTAATTGGTAGTCTGGGCTTTATTTTACATTTGCATTTTTAAAGACAGTGGTTTGCTTGTTAAGGAAACTGCTATTTTTAAAGACTTTTAAAATTGCCTTTAATAAATCAAAGCACTGTGGAGACAGCTTCCTGTGTGTACAATGCAGGATCAACAAAACTCAACTCTGTATGTAGAAAATATTACTAATTAAAGATTTCCTCTGGAGAAAGAGAAAAATCATGTACTATGCATAGCGTATTAATTCTTTTGAATTCCTATTGATAATAAAGCAAAAATAAAGCAATCTACAGTCTTACTAATTTGTACCAACAAGGGTGAACTGATCTGGATTGAGAAGTGATGTAAAGAAGACTTAGATTGATTCCCAGTCAGGGCACATGCCTGGGTTGCAGGCCATGACCCCCAGCAACCGCACATTGATGTTTCTCTCTCTCTATCTTCCTCCCTTCCCTCTCTAAAAATACATAAATAAATAAAATCTTTAAAAAAAAAAAAAAAAAGAAGCCTTAGATCATTTCCAAATAATCTATGGTGTTTGAATGTGTAGACATCACAGAAGGGGACATGATGAACTCAGGTAAACAGGTACCCTGTTTTAGGAAAGCAACATAAATAAACGTGAGGGAAAATGGGTATTTCATAATAATGCCTGACCATCAAAAGGAAACATGGAACTGGAAGAAATTTCTCTGATGAACGAACAAGGAATGAGAAGAAGTCACTGTGCCCTCTTCTGAATCATTTCAAAATACGGAAGGAAGCAAAACACAAGAACGTTAACTGACACGCCTGTACAGGTTCGGGAAAAGTGATAATGACAACAAAAGAACTCTGTGGTAGTTACGTCAAAAAGAAAAAGAAGGGAAGAGCCAATCTTTTGGGGAATGCAGTACAGTTTAACAGATGACCAAGAGAAAACTAAGGTACTCAACTCAAAAAAAGTGTTGTTGTTTTTTTTTTAATATGAGGTTAAGTATCTGCAGACCAAAAAACAAAAACAAAAACAAAAACTTTAAATAGGTGAGAAAACAGCAAATATCAAACTACTTTTAGTAAGTTCATGTTTGACAGTCAAATGACAGATAAGATTATAGACAGAACATCACAGTAGTAACTGGTATTTTCTCTTGGGAAATCATGAAAAACAGAGGTTTCAGAGGACTTGGAAGTAGTAAATGGGGCCTAACTTATAAAAAGGAAAAAGAATATCTTCCATAAACCACACATTGTTAGTCCAGAATCTGACGAAACGATTCCACAGTTTGCTGGTGAGCCCTGAAAAAAGAGACACTCAGTAACAGGGGTTCCCTGAGGACAGACCATGCCGACAGATTCCACATTCTTTGAAATCTACCACCTGGTGAACAGTGCGAGGAATATCGCAGATGTAGAAACCAATCCTTTTTCCATTTTTGACAGGGTTGCTGGGTTGGTGCATCAGGGGTAAGCAAAAGAGTGATAAGTATTTATTAAAAAACTTTAGTGACACATTGACTGAAACAACAGAAATGATGAAGAGAACAAACCATGAAGCCAGAGCCGGAGGACAATGAGCACTTATGCTTATTGCTGAGAAGACCAAAGGAATAAAATACATAGTGCTTAGAATAGCAGTATCTGGCAGAGAATAAATTTCCTGACTTAGTTTTTAACAACAATAACATTGTAATTGCCCCTGTTACATCCTTGCAAACACATCTGTATTCATCAGGCAGTGCTGAGTCCACATACAGTTACAGAGCTCTAACCTTGGTCCTCATCTATTCAACAATGTTATTAATTACTAGAAAAAAGATAAAGGACAAACACACAAATTGTGCAGATGATTCAAAGACAGAAGAGAAAAGCAGGCTGCACAACCAAAATGAACTCTACCCTGGCCCCAAATCACTGATATTTAAAAGGAACAGTGATATCCTAGGTTAAGGCAAAAACAAAATGAAACATTTCCATATGTAAGGACAGGATGACACCTGCCTAAGTCTTTCTTTTAAGTATTTGAGGGAGTTGGTTGTTCACAGCTTCAATGAGCCAAGGGTATAACATAGCTCCTTTGGAAAGGGATGAATTAACAAAAAGTCTGAATTACTGGGAGTATTCTGATCACAAGAAATAACAGTCCCTCTGTAATGCCTGAGCAAACCACACCTGGAATAATGTATTCAATTAGGTTCCACTAATCTGTGCGTCATCCTGACACAGGTAGGCAGGCACTCAGGATCAGTGTCTCGAAGGTGCTGTTCATGAGCGACATGAAAGCAGAAAATCCAGTTTGCAGAGCTAAGGAAACAAGGGAACAGACCTTAGATCAAAGGTTAGGGTACGCCTTTGCTTCACTTAACTAAAGAACTTTCAAAATTTAGATAAAAAGAATGAACTGCCTGGTCTCTGTCATTTAAAGTGGTCAAAGAGAGGTTGTGTGACTGTTTGCCAGGGAGGGGGAGAATTTCCTTCAGACTTAGAGCTCACCAACTTGAGAGCTCGGCAAAGGGCAGGTGTCCTGTTCACTGCACCCAGTCAACACACTGAACAGCCACGGATGGCTGACAAATAGGAAAGGAAAGGAGGAGGAGAGGAAAGAAGACATTACTTAAGTCTCTTCCAGTTCTAAAATTTTATCACTAGTATCTTTTTACAGGTAGTTATTACTTTTATTAGAAAAATAAATCCCGAACGGTTAATGTAAACTTTGGGTTAAAAGACATCATAGTGAATATCAGTGTGTAACATAGAGTCGGGGGGACAGCAGGGAAAAGCCGCCTGTGACTCCCTTTCTACAGGTCCTCCCGGTCTTGTCACAACATTTGGGGGGGACAACCAAACAAAACCCCCAAAGTTCCACAAATCTGCATAAGAAAAAGCAAGGCACACTAACCAGAAACTGGAATCCTGTTCCCTGAAACCCAACCTGGAAAAGCGCCCCAGGTTACCTTAGAGTCAGCAGGAACGGCTTCAGCCAGCGCCGACCAGAAAATCACCTTCACGTTTTCTTTCTCAAAGTACGTGGCCCAGGCACGCCGCTGCTCAGAAGTCAACAAGTCTGCCTTATTTATCAGAATAACATTTTCCTTACTGCCGTCAATTTCTTTCACGTAACATTCCTAGGCAAGATGAAAGACATTTAGGAAGGCCCCTTGAACATGTAAAAATTAACCTAATTATACTGAAGATCCTGCACTGTCCCCAGTTCTAAGTCATTCCTAATTTAAATATTTTTAATTGTGGTACATTCTACTGATCCTCTCTGTAAGCTCTGAAAACTTGTTACATCACGTAAGAAACTGGAAGGGGTTAGAAAAAGAAATGCTTTCCTGCCCTGATGAGGTGTAACAGGTCCTTTTCTCTTTATTAATGCTGAAATGCTTCTTTTAAACAAAGTTAAAGACTGCACAACTAGCTCTGTGAGCCAGCTGGGACTATTTTTCAGCCAAGTGATGGCAGTCAACAATATTTAATGTAAAAATTATTTCTGAAGTCTAAATGAAAACCAAGACTCAGTAATTGAAATCAATTCCCAAATTTGGCTCACCATTAGGAAATACACCAGAAATATAAAAGCTGACTTCATAAGAGTTTCACCAGTAAGATTCTTGTTATTCAGCAGTGGATTTAAAAAGAATCTGTACTATTATTACTGTAGTCCTCAGTAGAAACACTTCATGTGTGTACAGCGTTTTATTAATTCAAAGCCTATGTTATGTTATTTCATATGATTCTCACACCTTACCCCCTGTGGCAGCTTACAAACTAAGTTTACTTATAAGTCGCCGTAGGGTGTAATAACTGATATATGAGAAAACATAATGGGATGGACAAGAAGTGACCAGGAATATGATGAAGGAAGTAAAATGCTATTATGATTGGTGTCTTGAAAAATGAGAAACATTGGCAAATGTCTGTTAACAAAGTGGCTTCTAAACTAAAAGCTAGAAAGTTCCGGTCAGTGTCTGTGCCTTCCTGCAGACAGAAACAATCGTTTGAGAAGAGAAAACACCTGTCTAAACAGTTGCATTATGCAAGCTCCTGACCTTGGGAGGAGAGGGAGGCCTAATTAAACATAGCCAGAGAGAGGACAGAGAGCCTGCCTAGGGTTACTGTGATCAGGGATGCTGTCCTCCCACTGCTCCTCCAAGGACCTTAAGTCTGAATCTTGTCACACTTTACTTACCAAATCCTCACATCTAAACAGGAGTGGGTTTCGAGCATCTACTATCTGGACCACGATATCACTGCAAGACAAATGTGAGATGCTTTAATCTCTGTGAAGTGAAAGGAAATACCAACCATACAGTAATAGTAGAAAACACTTTCCATGTATTAAACATTTGACATATGTAGCTTTTTAAAGGTACAATCATTTCCAGTTTATATGGGAGGAAACTAAAGCTTAGAACAAGAAAGTAACTTCTTCAAGGTCACCAGCTATGAAATGATGGAGCCAGAATGGGAACTCAGGCAGTCTGGACCAGGGGCCACGCTCATAATCATAACCTTCTCCTCCTCTTATACCGATGGCCTAGTGGGGCTCTGGTGATGTTTCATTGCTAAAATTTTAACTGTAACCTCTCCAGGAAAGATAAAGTGAGGTCTACTGTATATTCAGTACCTGATCCATACTGTGCTAAGGCCTCAAAAGAAAACTAATATATCACCTGTGACAGCTGCCACTATCAAAGCCTGCATCTTATTTAAACCCAAGGCTGATAAGACAAAGCATATACCTAGCAAATAATCATCTACCCATTCCAAGAATGTGTTTAGATAGCAAGAATCCAAAACGGCAAAATACACACTGCAGTTGCCATCCCGAAGGAGTGATGAGTCCAACTCCTTCAGTCACCTAAAAGAAGATGCAGCAGTAAGAAAACTTTCTACAGCTGAGAACAGGCCCCTTGAATCCCTAAAAAGTGTGGTACGGACTACAGCAGCCCAGCACTGTATGAATACGTGTGCCACTTCCCTGGGAGGATCCTCCCTTCCTTCAGGACAGGAAAGGCGCTTTTCTAAGGGCCAGCTGTGACCGCCACTGGAGAGGGGTAAGATGAAGGTGTGCTGCCTACCCCCTTAACAGGAGCCTCCCCATGTCCATGTCTGGTTTGCCTTTTTGGAGCTAACTCTTCCAAAACTGTGCTGAGTACGACGACCTGTATGAAATCATAGTCACCACTCAGGACAGGTTTCCGACAATCAAAGTGCACTTCAGAGTACCTGCACTTCCAGCATAATTAGGTGATTCAAAGGAATTCACAGACTTGTTAATTTATGATAAATTGTTTTTAAATTCTCAAATTAAGCAGATCCTCATATTTTCTTCTTTAAGGTAATAATCTGCCACTGTCAATACTGTGATGATTTAAGAGTAAATGTAGGAATGACTGCAAAAAAATGGAGAAAGCCTAATGAACTAAAATTACAAGGTCCAATGAATGATATTATCTACCTACTAAACAGGCAGAAAGAATAAGAATAATCAGCTTAGAAACACCAGTACGAAAACACGACAAATTCAACATAGCTTGCTTCCTGTGCTGAATTAGGGTGCAGAAAAAAGTGCCAGCTGTGTACCAGGAAGGCTTGGTGCCATGCAGTGGAAGCACCTGCGTCATGGAATGCAGGGTCCTGCCCTCAGTGCCACAGCAGTTTCCTGCATTTCAATACATGTTATATGTCCAATCTTTTCTGATAACTACTTTTGAATTAAAGAGACAGATGGCTTAGCTGCCTGTTACCAAACAGGAGACATCTGTTGTACAGAACCCACCAATACATATTTCCTGTTAAAAGATATGGCAGTAGTCACTTTATTGATAATAATTCTATGTAACTCAGATCAACTGCCATGTAACACACACTATACTCGAACAGGGAAACATGGCTCGCCTCCTTGCACAGCCACATCGAAGTAACAACTAAAATACAGACTAATCATTACTTAGAACCATGAGAAATCGAATTGAATGGAAGTCTGACAACTAGGAAATTAAAGAAACCACATCCATCCAGACTGGTAGGAGGGGCACAGACGTGGAATGGGCTGGTCTCTCACCCACATGTGGTGGATGAAAATTCGGGAGGGCTATCTCAGGAGCAAGGAATCCCAGCCCCACACCAGGCCCCCAGCCAAGGTTCGAGTGCCACGAAGATAAGCCTCCATAACTTCTGGCTGAAAAACCAGCAGAGATTGAGTTCACGGAAGAAATTTCTGGAGTCCCAAGCAGTTCTTCTTAAAGAACCCACACACCGACTTAATCAGACTCACTCCCTCTGAGCTTCAGCACCAGGGTAGCAGCGTGAAAGGCACCAGTGGCATAAAGGGAAGAACTGAAGTGTCACAATCAAGGTGAGAACTGGGGGACAGCTTTCTCCCAGACAGAAAGGTGAGCCACTGTCCCTTTTCTGAAACCTCCCTTCACAGAGTCAGTAGGCTGGTGCCACATCTGAGACTCTATCAGTCTGGCTAACACTATTTGCCTTGCCCAGGAGATCCCTAGAGACTCCTCAAGACTCTGCCCCACCCCAAGCTGCTTTTCCATACAAATGACCGGTCTTGGTTCATGCCTCACAACTTCCTAAAACCTCTCAAACAACCAACAGCCAGCCTCAGAGAGACCTCAGCCCCTATACCTCTTGCTAAGAAGCCCCAGGCCTGGCACTAGCAGCAGCCAGCCTAAATTCACAGCTTGGCTTTGCCTGGGAATCTCCACAACCAGCACAAGTAGTAGCCATCTCAGATTGCTTTATAGCTCAGGCAGGGTGGCCTCAGCAAAACACAAGTGGGTGCTAACTTTGGCCTGCACCACCCGGGAAACCCCAGAGCCTGTGCACCCAGTGGACTACAAAGTCCACACAGGTGCACCGTGAGCCTGCCCCTGCACAGCTGATCCTGCACAGAGGGTGGAGGCTGGTGGTCAGTGGTTACAGCCAGTCCTTGCAGCTGACTGACCTGGGTAAATTCCTCCCACTGATTTGCCAACAGCAATCAAGGCTCAACTACAAAGGGGGGTGTACTAAGCCCACACAAAGGGTGTACCTCAAGTGCCCAGCTTTGGTGATGGGGAGGCTGTGCCACTGGACCCTACAGGACACCTACTACATTAGGCACATTACCAAGACAGGGAGTCAAAGCAGCCCTAATACACAGAAACGAACACGGGAGGCTACAAAAACGAGGACACAGAGACATGGCCCAAATGCAAGAATAAATCAAAACTCCCGACAAAGAACTAAACAAAATGGAGATAAGCAATCTATCAGATGCAGAGCTCACAACACTGGTTATAAGGATGCTTAAGAAAGTTAGTGAGGCCCTGGCTGGCCGAGCTCAGTGGATTGAGCGCGGGCTGCACACCAAAGTATCGCAGGTTCGATTCCCAGTCAGGGTACATGCCTGGGTTGCAGGCCACGGCCCCAGCAACCACACATTGATGTTTCTCTCTCTCTCTCTCTCTCTCTCTCTCTCTCTCTCTCTCTCTCTCTCTCTCTCTCTCTCCCTCCCTCCCTTCCCTCTCTAAAAATAAATAAATAAAATCTTTAAAAAAAAGATTAAAAAAAAAGAAAGTGAGAACCTCAACAGCATAAAAAAGATCCAGTCAGAAATGAAGGATACACTAATTGAAATAAAAAACAATTTACAGGGAAACAATAGTAGAGTGGATGAGGCAGAGAATCAAATCAATGATTTGGAACATAAGGAAGCAAAAAACAACCAATCCGAACAAGAAGAGAATCCAAAAAATGAGGATAGTGTAAGCAGCCTGTGGGACAGCTTTAAGAAATCCAAATTTTGCCTCTAGGGGTGCCACAAAGAGAAGAGAAAGAGCAAGAAATTAGAAATCTATTTCAAAAAATAATGAAAGAAAGCTTCCCTTAATGATGAAGGAAATAAACATGCAAGTCCAGGAAGCAGAGAGTCCCAAACAAGATAGATGCAAAGAAACCCATTCCAAGACACGTCATAATTAAAATGCCAAAGGTTAAACCCTGGCTGGCGTAGCTCAGTGGATTGAGCATGGGCTGGGAACTAAAGTGTCCCAGGTTCGATTCCCAGCCAGGGCACATTCCTGGGTTGCAGACCATGACCCCCAGCAACCGCACATTGATGTCTGTCTGTCTGTTTGTCTCTCTTTCTCTCTCTCTCCCTCTATCCCTTCCCTCCCTAAAAATGGATGAATAAAATCTTAAAAAAATAAATAAATAAAATGCCAAAGGTTAAAGATAAAGAGAGAATCTTAAAAGCCATAAGAGGAAAGAAGTTAGTAAACTACAAGGGAGTTTCCATAAGACTGTCAGCTGATTTCTCAAAAGAAACTCTGCAGGCAAGAAAGGACTGGCAAGAAATATTCAAAGCCATGAGAAGCAGGGACCTACAGCCAAGATTGCTCTACCCAGCAAAGATATCGTTTAGAATCAAAGGGCAGATAAAGAGTTTCCCAGACAAGAAAAAACTAAAGGAGTTTATCATTACCAAACCATTATTATATGAAATGTTAAGGGAACTTATTTAAGAGAAAGATCAAAACATGAACAACAAAATGTTCAAAACTAAGAACAAAAGTATGAATTTAATCAACAATTGAATCTATCAAACTAACTAAGCAAATAAGCAGAACAGAGAGAGAATCATGATACAGGAAGTGTTTTGATGGTTGCCAGGTTTGGGGTGGGGGTATGGGCAAATGAGTAAAGAGGGGAGGGGATTAAGAAGTACAAATAAGCAGTTATAGAATAGCCATGGGGATGTAAAATACAGGATAGGATACGGAGTAGCCAAAGAACTTATACACTTGACTCATGGACAGGAACAATGCTGTGGCGGTTGCCTGAGGGAGTGGGGGGTGGAGGGGGTCAAAGGGGGAAAAACTGAGACAACTGTAATAGCATAAACAATAAAATATAATTAAAGAATAAAATACACTATATGCAATGAAGTAGAAATATGTTCCCTCTTATAAAAAGAGAAATATCACGTAAGAAAAATAAAGCAAATAATACTATAGTCCAATTGATGCTAAAAGTTTCACAAGCACAGGTTCATGCTAGGGAAACCAATCACTTATTTAGGGGCATAAAAAGTGGGTAAAGGGCCATCCTGTTGATATGGAAGAATGCATATTGTTATCTCTGCTCCCTCTCAAAACCTAAAAAAAAAAAAAAAATGAACAGACATGCTGGAACTCATTAGGACAAAGAGAAAGAAAGAACAGCAACTAAGAAATGTCAAACCCATAAGAAGCAAGCCTGTTCCTGCCCCAGTGTCCCAGAGAAAGCTCAGGATTAGAAACATCAGATCTAGTTCTGAAGGCAATGTTGGGGGATGGGCCTGAAATCAATCTGAACAGGGATCCCTGAGGACATTCCCCTGTTGCATTCAACCAGGCAACCACACCCTGCCTGTTTCATAAATTTAATCCAAGTAGCGTTTTGTTTTGTTTTTTTTTCCTAACAATGCTAAATGAGCAAATAATCTTTCTAAGAACCAGTAAAACATCCTGTTTCCTAATGTTCTCACTTGGTGTATTTTATGGATTTCAAAAAAATACAACTTGAAGATTCCTTGTTAAAAATCATCTTTTCAAATATAAGCTTTATTTATGGAGTCCTTGCAAATAATTCAGATACTCTGAAGAAAACAAAAACCTTTTAACTATAGCAATGATTTTCATCCTTCATCTCATGTCACGGCACATGTAAACTAATACTAAAATTTGCGGCACACCAAATAATTGTTTTTGCCAATCTGCCAAAAAAAAAAAATAGGTGTCATTTTGATTCATTCACACTGGACGGCTATTGTTGTGTTGGCTGTTGGCATTTTTTAACTTGACAATCTACAGGTAGAGAGGCCAGTGCACCTGCCTAAACAGTCAGGCACTGCATGCTTTCAAAATTTTTGCAGTACACTAGTTGCAAATCGCTGAATTATACCAAGAGGTGAGACTGGAGAAAGCGGATTCATCAATATCTAACAATCAGGACATAAAAAAAGGACTGAAAATCTCCCATTCTTAATTTCTCAAGTTCAAATCCCAATTAGAATAAATCATCTCATTCCCCCACAACCTTTACCAACTGGTCCTTCTCCTGCTGTGACTTGGCCCACTTCCTTTCTTTCCGCAGTGAAGCAGGAACCACACTCCGCTTTGCACTTCAGCAGGTCTGCGTTAGCTGAGTGCGAAGACTGTATTCTGTTCATCTGCATGCCCTGGTGCCTGGCTCTTCACTCACCCCCTCACCCTCTCTTTGCAGGTAGGCACCTATCCCTTTTCACATCCGTATTTTCCATATCACCAGTAGTTCAATATAGATTTGCTGAAATAACTACAACTGCTTCAGAATTCATCTTATAGAAAACATTCATAATTCTCACAAGCCTGTCAATGTGTTCATCTAATAACAAAAAAATCTATATTAAAAAATAAAGTATCACATTTTCCGTTTTCATAGTAATTCTCAACAGCCCTCTGCATAGCTTAATCCGATGCCCCCCTCCCCCAATCCCTGGACCTATAAACATATATTAATACCCAAATCCAACATAATACTACGACAACTTCACCACCCCTCAGTGGTCATTTACCTTCTCTCAATCACCCTCCAGAGCTGGCGCCAAAAGTCCAAATTTCTTTCAAATGGAGTCAATATCAGCTTTTGTTCCTCTTCTAGCCTGGCTTTAAAATGACAGGTTTATAACTCTGCCAGATTATAACAGAAGGTTTTGAGTAATATAAATAGTTGAACACATTGCATTAAAAAGCAAGTACACAAATACGGTCAAATTATTTTTATATACTTTCTGCTGAGGCAATAAAGAAAAACAAATTCAAGTTTTATACTTAATCTATTTAAACCCGGAAAGGTTATCTATCACACAAAGTGATGTTTCTCCAAGGCATCCACCTCCTCCCTCCAGGAGGAAGGCTGGAGAGTGGCGCTCACCCCCGGGGTGACCACGGCCAGAGAAGAGTACAAAGGACAGAACAGAACAGATACGGAGCGGACCAGCCAACCCACCGCCTCCATGTGAGGCTTCCCATGCAGCCAGCAGTGCTGTCTGCACGCACACCAATTTGCACTTAAAAGAAGATATCTACTATTTTTCTTTGTAAAGAATCAAGATTTTAAAATGCAAACAGCCATGCAAACACACCAAAATGTCTGACTTGGAATTTCAAGGCAAATCTTCAAATAGGCTAACACTCACCGGACAAGCTGACGTCTCCATTCTAGAAAGTTATCTTTCTCTGCCTGTTTGAGTTCTTCAGGACTAGTGTTTTTGTCCCACTTTGGTCTAAAACAATCACAGAGAAAAGAAAATTCCACATGAATTACCAAAATAAAACAGGAGATATGGATTAATAATGGCTGCTGAGAGAAACTAGCAGGAAAAAAAGTGTACACCACCTTAAAAAACTTCTGCTCAGTGGCCTTGTGGTGCCTTGTAACGTTTGTTGTTCGACTCACCTCCTTGGTATGCACAGGAACTGTTTGTTTTCTTCATGGAGCTTCTTGATTCTCTGGCTCTCCTCAAAAGACAGCAGTCCAGTTTTGGCCTCAGGAAGCACAAACTTAATGTTAAGCTTCTCTGTTTATAGAATAGAAAAGTATTGTTACTTAAGAGGCGATATATATAGTGAATGTCAGTCATTACTTCAGAAACTAAAAATATGAGCACCTAAAACAGAATTTAAGCTTTTTTGATTTAGATTCTTCTAGCCTTGGATAAATTATAATTTCCAAATGAAACTTTCTACCAAAAAAAAGAAAAAAAGATTTTTATTAAAGTTTTCAAAAAGTCAACCATTTTTTCAAGTACTAATTTTTAACACTCCATATACTAAATGCAGTAAGAATGGGAAGCAATTGTAAAGATTCACTGCAACCAATCCCTTCATTCTGCGTAGGGAGAATTGTGAACCAGCGGGAAAGGGTGAGGAAACCAGGATTCAGCAGTCTCCCTCCAGTTAGAAATGGTGAACTGCTGCACTGCTGTAACTGACGTAAGATATTTATGGTGAACACCCGATTAATGCTGTATGAGTTCAAATAATAAGATAAATATGAAGTCCATGTATAAACTACAGAGACCTCTATTCTAGGGCTCCACTACCCGCCCTTCTCCTGCCCCAGCAGCCATTCCAGAGTTGCTCCAGGCCATGCCAATGCACCACACACAGCCCCCTGGTCTCCTTGGGCAGGTGACCTCACTGAGATAAGAACCTATAAAGCCAGCTAAGCTTATTACCAAAATGCCAAGGGAAGGTCCTATTCAAAGGTAACATGACATCTTCAGCAACATTCCTAATGACCTTTAGGCGAAGTGTAGTCTGTCACCCTTCTCAGACCAACACCATCTAGGACTTTGGTCTGCTCAGTCTAGTAACCTCGAGTTCAACCACCATCCTCTTACACGTCATCCTCAGCCAACAGTCAAAACACACACCCTTGAGCTACATACATTTGGTAATTCTTTCACACTGATCCCTCCTTCCAGTGGCTATCTCCCACCCAATGCCAACCACTGTAAATACCTCTGGCCCTCTGATTCTCTACTCTTTTCCCAGGCCATCATCCAGCTCATAGCTTCACTTCTTTCCTATTTGGCTAAAACCATATGGGCACATACATTTGACCACGGATTGAACATACACACTCATTACTCCACTGCACCCACTCCCAAATCTCCAGCCTTAGGTACAGCCAACTGTCTTTTCTCCTCATTTCCGCAGAGACACCATGAGTGCTGCTCCAAGTACCCATTCGACAATGCAGTCACCAGTCTCTGAACTGGGTTTACTACCAACACTTCTCACACCCAGTATGTGGGTTTCCCACACCACCAACCGAGTCTCCAACTCTCCACACATCAGCTGCGTGCCCTGCAATTTAATTGTATTCTGTCCGACTCCACAGGTGTAAGGGCTGTCCTACCACTTTACTTCAGGTGCCAAATCCATGAATGGGTTTTATGGAGGCCTCATCACGTAGGCATGAATGATTATTGGTCAGTGGCAATTAACTCAACCGTCAGCATCTCCAGAGGCTGTGTGTAGGGGGTGGGTATATCCTGAAAATTCCCACACTCTAATCACCAGGTTGGCTCCCGTGGTAATCAGCCCCTCCCCACCCACGCAGAAGTTACCTGAGGGCCCACTAACCACCTCATAGCACAAATGCTTTCTAGCCCCCATCACTCAAGAAGTTGAAGGATTTTAGAAGCTTTTTGTATCAGGAGCTGGGGACGAAGACCAAATATATATGTTATTACATTACCAAACCTTCCCTTATTTACTGAAAAGAAGGAATGAGTGCCATCTTTTAAAAAGTAGTGTCCCCAGCAAGCATTTCACACTTGCCATTATTTGGCACTCCTTTGTTAGGTCAGGGACTCGTATGAGAACTTACTAAAAAACTACAGACCATCACCACATCCACAAATGCACAAACGCACACACGTGCACACAATCCCGCATGCAGTCCTGGGGCGCACAGATGGCTGAGACTTGCAGTCTCTAGGTTAGAGACCACTGTCCCTGTGTGTCTAGCAGCCAGTGTTGTCTGCAGACCACAGAGAATTGTGAACAAAGTTCTATCACCTTTACATTATTAATGAAAAGAAAGGGAAGGTTTAAAATAAATGTTAATAAGAAATTTAATGGATTTTCAAAAGGTTTATGAAGGTCTCATTATGTAGGCACAATTTTTTAAATTATTGCCCATTAGTGATTGTATCTCCAGACCCACTCCCCTCCCCAGAGATGGGGCTGCAAGTTCCAGGTCTAATTATGCCCCATTCTGTTTAAAAGACCAACCCTCATTCTGAAGTTCCCCAGGGGTCCCCAACCACCAATTACCACAGCATACAAAAAGACACTGTAATTGCACCAGAGATTCCAAAGGTAATTTTGAAATTTTCATGTCAAGAACCCAGGCAGAAGACCAAATATATAATTTCTTATTGTATCACACTATCAGTATCACTACAAGTGTATGGGCTCAACATCAGCTAAGTCCTTAGGATTTTCCACAGAAGGAAGAAAGTCTTTCTATGTTCGTGGTTTTCCTCTCTCATTCCCTAAATTGCAAATACTGTCCTTCAACTCCCTACTCCTCTCCTCTGCCCACTTCCTTTCAGAAGAAGGCCTTCTATCTTACCAAGAGAAAAATCCAAACTATTAGATATGCAGCCTCTCAACTGCTGACCCACACATCTCTAAACGTGTGTGCTCCCCTTCAGCTTCCTTCTTCCTTCTCTCAGCTTCGGAGGACGTCGCACTCCTTTCACATGAAGCGTACCCCTGCAACTTCGTTTCTGATTGCATTCTGTTCCCACCTCCTTCCAGAGTCAAACTTTGCTCCATTTCCTCACTAATCTCTATTTTGTTCCATGGTTTTAAAAATTAACTTTTACTTACACATTTACACAAAACATCAACTCTCTTTGTAAAAAATTCAACCATAAAGGCACACTTTTCTCTGACCAACCCCCAATCCCCTTCCCCCCTCCTGCAATCCCAGTTCCCTCCCTTGAGATTATTGATTAAATGCATAGCTTTCCAAGTTTCCCCCCTTCTAATACATATATGGATTTATCAGTTTTTAAGAATATATTTTTTTAATTTTTCAATTACAGTGGATATATAGTATTTTAATTAGTTTTAGGTGTACAACATCATGATCAGATTTTTATGTAACTTACGAAGTGCTCATCCCATTAAGTCTAGTACCTAGGTCAGATTTTTTAAATGCAAATGGTACCATACTACACGCACTATTCTGCAACTTGGAAACTTGGTCTTTTCATTTCATAATTGGTCTTGGAGATCCTTCACGTTAGTTCTCAGACACTTACTGCATTCCTTTTAACTATTGAATAGTATTGCACAGCACGTCCATACCATCGTTTACTTAGCCATTTTTCCACCAATTGAACATGTAGGTTGTTTCCAAGTATTCACTGTTAAAATACAGCATCATCTGAGAACTTGTTAGAAATGCAAATTCTCAGGCTCAACCCACATCTACTGAATCTCCAGAAAAGTAGCCCAGAAATCTGTGTCCCAAGTTTTCCAGGTAATTCTGATGTTCGCTAAAATCCAAAAACTACTGCTCTAGCATAGATACTGAAAAGTGGAAATGGCTGGGCATATGAATATGTATGTTAAATGTTTTAACAATTACTGCCAAGCCAAATACTTCCGTATTTTAACCTCTCCCTCTCTACGGCTCTCACACCATAACCTATGCATATGCTTATATTTCCCTCCATCTTACACGCACACTCGCACACACTTTTTCTCTCTCAATCTCACCCTGCCATAGTCAAATATCTCAAAAGAGTACAACACTCTCATTAACTCTACTTCCTTTCCTTCCACTCCTTTCTTCTCTCACCTCCAATTATGGCTCTACCTCTCCTTACTCTTCTTCACTTAGTCCATCCTCTTCACAAAGTCTGGTTTATAGCTCCCTAACAATAGTGCTCCTGTTCTTTTCTTCATTCTTCTACTATCACTATTTTAGTTATGGCCCGCTTCTCTTGTTGAACTAAAACAAGTCTCCTAACTGGTCTTCATAAAATTCACCAGTAATGTAATGTAATGTAATGTGAAAAGAAATTATGTTTAATACTTGTTTAAACCCCTCAAAGACCCCTTTAAAGCCCTTATTCTCTCCAGGACCTGGCACTCGCCCACCTCCTCAGTGTTTGCATATTGCTTCCTGTCCCTCCACACTTTAAGGACCAATAAGGCCAAACTTCTACCCATTTTCTGAACAATGCAGGCTGATGCTCTCATCTTAGCTGAAAGACCTCTGCCTGCCTGTGTATAACATCCTGTGTCACTTCACCTTTTCTTCTAACATCTACCCATCTCTTAAGATTCCACCTCAGGGTAAATTTTCCCTGACCAGCCCTAGTCTTCTTTTAAATAGAAATGAATACAAACTCCATCCTTTGTGACCCCATTGCCTGCTACAGACTTCTTTCATAGCATCTAAGACAAAATTCTGCAGAACCAAAAGTTGTCTTATTCAACATTGTACTCTCAGTAGCCAGTACGCTGCCTGAGAGTAGCTGAGGCTAAACAAAAGCATTTTGAACAAATGAGTGAATCTGCTAAACAACTTAATAATATCTACAATAAAAGAGCAATAGAAATAATAATTTATAATGCTATCTCTGTGCCAGGTACTTTTACAAGTGCTCAGAAACACATCTTAAAAAAAAAAACAAGGGCGAGAAGTGACTAAAATAAATTACATGCATGGAAAAACTCACTATAATGTGTTGAAAGTGTTTTAAAATACAGTTCAAATTACCTAAGCAACAGCGGCAGACCCAGAATTTTGCTTTTAACAGTGGTATCAGAAAACACCCTGGAAAATACTAGTATTGTCCACCACAATGTTGACTGGTCTTTTTTTCTATGAGAGGTTGAGTTTCTTGAACTTGCTATGATACTGCATAATTTGAAGTGTTTTTTCAGAGCTGAATTTTAAAGCTGTGGCACATTCCATAGCTCACACCTTGAGTACCACTGGACCTCCCCACAGTGCCTCTGGGATATCTCCCTGTGTGTTAAAGGCAGCTCATTTATGAGTTTAGTAGGGTCTGCAAAAACAGTTCCAAGTACATTTATTTGTATCTAGTCAGCAAAGACAGAAATGTGACCATTGTCACAAACCCTCAGCAATAAACAACTTACCAGCTACGAACTCTGTTCCTGCAAGTTCTGCAGTGGCAAGGAAGTCATCAAGGGAGCTCTGCTCAGTCACCGACTGAAGATTAAGGCGACCCCAATCATAGCCATCATTGAGTTCACTTGTGTGCAACTATGAACGAAACAGGGTAAAAATACAGCTCCTCTCTTCTGCTTTTGACATCCAAACACTCAAACCCCCAAGGCACTAACTATTCTGCTGTCTTGAGTGTGATGTCAGCAGCTTTAGAGTCAATACTAAGTAATAACTAACATTTACAGGAGCACTCTCCTACCTCATTTTTTCATTTAATTTTCAAAATCTTTTGAAGTAAATTTTAATGTCTATTTTACCTGATAAGGAAACAGGCTTAAATAGATAAAAATAAACTACCTAGATTTGTAACTAATAAGTGAAAAGAGGTAGAATTTGAACATAGACTCTCTGGCCCTGGCAGCCACAGAGTAGTCAAAAATTTTGATGAGCCCCAGAGTAAGTTTTACACAGTGACCCACATGCTGTGATACACATAATGATACAATTGTGTACCACTCAGTAGAGTAAAATAATAATAATAATAATAATAATAATAAAAAGAATCCAATATACAAAGTTATCTTACTACATGTAACACACTGATATTTTGAATTTTTTTTTGTTGGGTTAAAAAATCGCTAATTGCCACCTCCTTAACTGATTTCCAGACACAACCAGGAGTTGAAAAACACCACTCTAGCTGCATGCTCAGTACAGGTACAAGTAAAAGGAAAACAAAACTGAAGGTTAAAAGGTTTGTCCAAGGCCACAAAATCAGCAAAAGTCAGAATAAGGATTAGAATCCAGTTCTTTAGAATTCATATTCAATCCTCCCAGAACTTCCTAAAGGCTACATTAATGACAAGCTGCTTCAAAATCCACTGAAATAATCAGTAATCTCACGTCCAGAGAAAGTCTGACCTGATGAACCCAAAAGAGCCCTGAATGCGGCTTACTCTGCATATTATATGGATGGAAACCAGTAGCACATGGACAGTTGGCCCCAGGGACACCTTTGACATTAGCAGATTCTTGTCTCAAATACCTGGGGTTCTGAATGGTCAAAATAGCAAGCACAAGCCAAACCACTTTGCCCATTTTTCAAGGTCATAAAACCATGATCTTTTCTAGCCCTGGGAAAACAATGGGCCAGCCACATTCTGGAGATGAAGTGTTCATCTTTAAGGGCCACTACTAGGAAAAAACAAGGGTCAAGCAGGAATTAGATACGTTGGATTTCTAGTAGCAACCAGACACTCTTGGAGGGTCATTTCTTTGAACTAATTAATACAAAAAGAAGTAGAATTTGTGTCTTTCACTTCCAAACTCTCCCATGGCTTGTAAGACAAACACCAAACTGTTATCCTGACATAAAGACTCTTCGAGATTTCACTCCTGCTTCATCACATTAGTTCTACTTTTAAGCCTCCACCTTTGTGTCCTCTGTCCTTCCGTAAAGAGGACCTACTTATCGGCCTGGGAGAAACGTACTCATCCTTCAAAACCCTACCAGGATTCGCAGCATTCACGCTCACAGCCGGACAGAAAGGCTGAGAAAGATGACAAGAACTGTCTCACCCAGGAGTCGGTGTGACGGTGGCTACGGCTCCGCTGAGTCTGATGGCGGATAAGTGCCCGGCCGAGGGATCCAGTACCCGGCGCTTTTTTGCGGCCCATTGCAACACAAACGCCCAACTTTCTCTGCCTAAAGCGCACGTTTTCTGAAATTCCAGCGCCGGACCCCAGGAAGTGACGTTAGGAGCGAGCCCAAGTAGTGAAGGCCCACGTGGAACATAAACAGAGATAACTTGCTCAAAACTGCCTCCTTATATCTCGAATTTGCCATCCCCGTAGAAAAATATCTCAAGTTTTCTGATAACTTAATGTTCTATAGCTATCTCTAGTAATAGATCGAACTTTGAAAGAGGAGTTGAATCGAAGCATGGTACCTTCCAAACTCGTGCGTCGGTCTTCGGCGTCCGGCGAGGAACCGGGAGAGCTAGGAAACAGGGCCGTTGGTACTCGCGGTGCTAACCCCGCCTCCCTGCTGTTTTCGTCGGGAGGAGGCGGGGACTCGAGGGAAGAGTATTACTGAGCCCTTGCACGAGTTAGATTGCCCCTGGGCTCTGGTTTTCAGCGGTCGTTGGAAGGTTTCGTCTCACTGCTTGGAGTCCTAGCATCTAAATAGCTTTTTGTTTTCTTAGTCTTCCCGAGCTGCTTATTGGGGAGGGAAAAAAGCCCTGCCTCGTCAGGAGTTAGGAACGAAAGGATGAATAATGCTTCCAGAGCTTGGCAAAATTGCAGGGAAACCAACAGGATCTGACTTCAAAGCTTTATTTCACATAGTAGTTATAGAAGGATTTTCTACTCCCCTGGAGGTTGGCGCCCCAACCACCGCCTTTTTCAAGAGTCAACTATAATTTTTTAAAAGTTTAAAATTTCCAGTTATAATTGTATTAAAACTTTCCTGTAAGTAAAGTGAAAACAGTGAGGCGGCTCTGCTCTGCGGCCTGGGCTTTTGTTCTCACTTTACCGTTAGTGCCCTATAATGGGAATATAAAAAGTCAGGTTGGAGTCCTAGAGGTGCTGGGCATTTTACCTACATTTCATAAATCAGGTGGACCACCTCAATGATATGATGCTTGGAGAGGAAGCAGCGTGCTCAAGTCAGGTGGGATATGTGTAGTGTCTGAAGTCGAACCCAAGTCCTATCAGCTATGCTACATGTTCCTGGTGAAAGGAGAGAGAGAGGGTTGTTAACATGTATTTTGAACCAAGTGCTTTTCAAACTTTAATGTGCATATGAACCCTCCTGGAAATCTCTGTAACACGCAGATGTTGATTTACAAGGTCTGGGATGTAGCCAGGGATTCTGTGCTTCTAACAAACTCCCAGATGATGCTAACGTTGCCAGTCTGGCCCACGGGCGGCGCTTTGAGTAGCAAGATTAAGTCTACTCTCCTGTGATGCGGATGAAAACACTGAAGTGGACTGGCTACAACTTGGTCACAGCAAGTTAGGGGCATGCAAAACTGGGACCATATCATCCACCCATCTCTGGATTTCCTACCAAGGCCACATTGTGTACTGCATAGGCTTTGGGAACTCAGTGCATACAGATCAGTAATGGAATGCATCAGAACATGGTTTCTCCCGTTTCTCAACTGAGAAACTGTATATCTTTAAAAAAATCGTGAACATAATCTCCAGAAGTGAAATGGAGAAGACTCATAGAAGAGAATAAGCGGATAGTTCTTTTGCAGCATAGCAGTTAAAGATAAAATCATAAAGTAAGTTTAAATGACTTTTACATTCTAATGACAATAATAATAATGATGATAATAATGAGATGATATAAAAGAAACCTGCCATCTCATCCTAGAGGTCAGTTCTTCATCCTCTTTTTCCAGATTTTGTCACTTTGAGAGATTCAGAAAAACAAACGCTTTGGGTTTCTACAGTCATTTTCATGGGCTCCAAAAAATCTTGACCAAATAAAGTTATAACTTAATAAAAGCTGGTGGGGAGTCAAAAAAAGACACTGACATTGTAAGATTAAAATAGCAGTTCATAACTGACAAGTAAGGCATAAATAATTTTAATATTTTCCCCAAGATGTTCCTCAAATCTGCCATAGAGAAAGAAGAGCCTCAGTTTTCTTATCTGGTTAGTGGGGATAGCAATCCTGTCTTGTAGAGGTAGCAAATAAGGTAATGCTGCAAGGTCATTGCCTAGTAGTTTGTGGCATACCAATTTTTACAGCTGAACAAATTTTTCCCCAACAACTGGCTTAAGCAGGTGAGAATACAGATGTACAATTGACCCATGTACAATTGACTCAATGATGCTAGTTCATTGAGAAGAGTGGGGAAGGGAATTGAAGGTGCTGATAAGATCATGGGTCCATATTCAGAGGACCAAGTGAGAATGAAGGGAAAGTGATGACGGCGGTGGTAAAGAGTGGGGCAAGGTGCTGGCTGCTGCCCAAGTGAGGGGGTTGCAAAGATGAATCAGCCCCGGTCCTTACCCTCCAGCTGTAGAAGTCATTCCACCCACACACTTCAGGAAACAAGGCTGATCCAGCCAGACTCCCCTCATCACTTTGTCAGGACACTTCTCCACCAGGCTTATGTCTGGAAGACTGATCAGGTCCTCCCGATTTCCCACATGGTTGACCCCTCGTGATGAAGCCACAGTTCTCTAAACAGCTGACCTCTGAAGGAAGTTGCATTGATTTCCGGGTTGGAAGCCTCCTATTCAGCTTCCAAAAAGCAACACAGGGAGTGTTCCTCATTTGTGATGTTACATAACACTTGATTTACTGTGGCTAAACAAATGTAGTTACAACCAGGACACCCACACCTGGGAACAAACCTTGAAGTAACTTTCGCTCCAACTCCACATTGTTGAGCCTCTGGGATCTACATCAGCCTGGGGAGGGAGAGTTGAAAATGGGTGGGGTTTCTGTCTTTTCTTTTCAGCCCTTGGCAAAAATGTGTCAGTGGAAGAAAAAGTGTTCCAAGGCAAGATTGCAGCCCTGCCCCTCCCCTCTCCCAGTCTCCATACCACCGTGTTCCACAAGGACATTGAGGCAGTCTGCATAAGGCTGGGATTTGTGGAAATAAGTCTGCCAGTCACTGCAGAGCCACTGAATCAGTAAGGAACCTTCCTTTGACTATCTGTCATTCTCTATTTATCCTATTGAAAATGGTTATCATAAATCATTGAGTCACTTCAATCAAACATTGATTGCTACTTGTGCAAGTCATTGTGTGTGTGCAATGAAGAGTGTAAAAGACCTCTTGCTTTAGTGATGCAGGCTACAAGATTCTATGCACACTGTATTTGCACCTATGAATTCTACCCCAATCCTTGTAGTTATATGTAGAGTATCCAGGGTCTGTAATTTAGAGATGATTTTGAGATTAATTTTTCCCACACAATGGTCAAGTGAGAAAGGGCATTGCTATTGTTCTGAACTTTTAGTTATAAATTTTTTTAATCCTCAGCCCGAGGACGGTCTTACTGATTTTAGAGAGAGAGGAAGGGAGGGAGAAATAGAGGGAGAGAAACATCGATTGGTTGCTTCTAGCACAAGCCCTGACCAGGAACCAAACCTGCAACCCAGGCGTGTGCCCTGACTGAGAATCAAACTGCGACGTTTCAGTTTATAGGACAACACCCAACCAACTGAGTCACACTGTCCAGGGCTAGTTGTAAATTTTGAGATCCAATAAAGTTAAGCAAAGTGAAACAAGGTAAAGGAGGCTAGAAGTAAAATTGATAATCACCAACTCTAAAATCTGCGGGTAGAAAGCACCAGATTTCTTTAATTCATTAATTCCTTCACTGATTTATCACTAGACTCTTGGGAGTTAGCATTGGATAAACTCCCTTCCCCCAAGGCCCCATTTTGCCCCAAGAGCTTACATTTTAGTGGTCATCTGCCTGACCGAGGGACTCACCCAAGGCAAAACAGCTCGGGTCAGTGGTGGAGCTATGAATGATACTACCAGTTAGACCCTACTTCACCACAAAGGCCTTATGACCACTGCGATTTTTTTTTTCTAAACATGACCCTTCCTCTTAAATCACTGACAAATTTATTAAGTGTTAGTATGTCAAGTTGGATAGTGAAGGAATAAGGAAAAGGTGAAGACTCCCAGAGTATGTGGGGGCCAGTTGCTATTTATGTGAAGACTGAAATACAGAAGGGAGAGAAGATTGTTCTGAGTAGAGACAAGGCAAGTAGAACTAGAACAAGTGGGGAGAAAGTACAGAGTCACAATTTTAGGTTCAATTTGTTTGAGCCTTCTTGCAGTCACAGTGGTTCAAGGGTGGAATAGACAGCCTTTTAAAGAAGTGAGATCCCTGCCGCTGGAGGGGTTCAAGCAAAGGCTGAATAACCAAGTGTCAGAGTGTTCTAAAGCAAGTTCATACTTCAAAGTGGGTGTTGAAATAGAGGACCGCTGAGGTGCTTAAGAGACACCTTACCTTCAATCTAAGATAACAGGAACAATGATATTTTCAGAACGGGTGCCTGGGCTGGCTTGCAGCACTTTCACCATGTGCGGTAACTTGGGGAGAAGATTACATCCTGCCCTGTTTGCCACGTGAGGGATGAGGGCACTGTGAACTGCCCTCTAGCCAATTCAATCATCATTAATTACAAATACTATTACTATGAATGGAAATGTCACCATCCAAGGATTCCGCATTAAAGCTAACCATGCAGGGATAGGGATTTCTCCTCCTTCCACCTTCAGAGAGGACAAACTACTCTGCTCCTTCTTCGCTGGTCATTGCCTCTGGTGGCACTGATGAGAAAGGTTCACCTGCAAGGCTCGCGGTCTCACTTTTCCTGTCTTCCTTCTCATGCCTTTGTATTTCTGCCTCGGTCTTATTCAGGTGGCAAACATTCCTAGTAAACAGCCCGTGAAAAGAGGGGCTTCATGGCAAACAAAGGTCGTGGTGAGAACCTTTCTGGAGGCTTGGGCAGTGTGGTGACCTCTGGAATGTGTAAACATCTGATTTGTCTATTGCTTCTCTCTCACTCCAGCAACTTCTTGTCATGGCCCCTGTGTTGGGCTGAACAGTGTCATACTGGATTAGAGTAGGCTCTAATTCACTGATGGGTGTCCTTATAAGAAGATTCAAACTTGGATGCACACAGAGAAGACACGGAGAGAAACACCATGTGAAGATGGAGGCAGAGATTAGAGCGATTTGTCTGTA